ATCAAAATTTGAATATACTTACATATATTCCAAAAAAATCAAAACCAACATATCTAAACACAATTCATGCTTAAAATCAAATTTAATAATACAATTCAATGCCCAAACTCATAATTAAAGTCTAAACTTGAGGTATTTAATGATTTTATTTAGGTGCATCGGTGTTTGTCTTACATCCATTAATCAATCATCAAAGTAATGAACATCATATGAACTTCTATCTAATTCTATCAAGTTATAAATAATATGAATTAATAAAAAGATTTTTGTATTAATAAATATGTAATAATCTACTATTCAAACCATCCAAATAGGTTGGATCTTAGGCACCTATACTAACCGCTAGTCCTCCATAGCTAGGTATCCTAAGGTAGTCAAACAAATCAAAATCCAAATATACTTACATATATTCCAAAAAATTAAAACCAACACATCCAAACACAATTCATGCTTAAAATCAAATCCGATAATACAATTCAATACCAAATCTCATAATCAAAGTCTAAACTCAAATACAAATTCATATTCAAAATTATAAATCAAATACTTATCTAAATTATACAAATAAAATCAGCATTAAGAATATTAATCAAACTAGTAATTAAATCCATATAATTAAATCAAACTTTTAGTGAAACACTTATTAAAAATGCATAATCAAATATTTCTTAGAATGATATCAAATTATTTTTTTGATATCAAATTGTTTCAAACTCTCATAAAGAGTTTGTTCCCATCTAAATTCTAATAAATATGATTATGATATACCTAAATCAATGATGCATGATGAAAATATGAAAGGAGCTTAAAAATATATTATGCTATATACTATCCATTCATAGTAAAATTAAATGATCGAATGCAATCAAGATTGCTAAGATAGAGTTGCCTACTCCATAAAATCTAATGATACAAAATGATCGAATAATCATTAATACCACATATCAAGAATAATTTGAAAGTAAATGAATTATTTTAGAAATCGGAATATAAGACAATTTATAAGAATGAAGTTTATCGAAAAGACTCAAATTAAGGATTTTTAACTAAACTCTTACTTTCTCAACCAATTATAGACAATTATTACACAACTATATCCCATGTTCATTCTACAATCTCTCTCTAACAATCCAATTTATATTTTATTACGACCAATTATCCATCATCAAATTTCTATTTAGTTTTCACATAAACTAGTCTCTACAATCCATCATCAATTTTCAATTTAATTTTTTACACAACTTATCTCTATAATTCATCATTAATTTTTAATTCAAGTTTTTCGACAACTTACCTCTATAATTCATCATCTCAATCAACTTGAGGATTTCTCAAACCGATAGTCCTATAATCAATTTCACACCATCATTATCTCATTTCAAGTATCAATTAGCATAATTAATTGATAAATCATCAAATCTCTAAATTCGATTCAAATTCTAACTCCAACCTAACTCAATTCTCATTCAAACAACAAATCTCACGTAAAACAATTCTAATATAATCAATAAACACTTATAATCATCTTAATTTTAAGATTAAATAACAAAAATTCTCACTTTTGACAAATAGATCTTACCCCAATTTCGATCCTAAAATCCCTTGAAGCCTTCAAGCTTAATCTACCTAAATATAACTTTAACCATCATGTTTCATGATTTTTCCAAGTTAACTAGGCAAGGTTTTAGTACAAAAAATGAAGGAGAGAATTTGGAGGGAGTAGAGAGAGTTTTTGAGGGAGGAAGAAAGGAGAAGAAATGAGAAAAATAAGGGACAAAAGGTCTATCTCGTTTTTCTTTTAAAAACTACCTTTTTTCTTCTTTTATAGGGTTGGGTTCTAATTTTTATTTTCTAATAAATTTTAGAATTTTAATTTATATTAAAAAATATAATTATCTCTAATTAATTTATAACTATTTTTCTTAATCTCAAAAATATACAATTTATTAACCTAACCTTATTTTTTTTTTAGGATGAGTTATTACATATACGTTATTTATCAGAGGGGGAAATTCTTGAGTTTCTTAGTAACTAGCTGAGAAATAGAGCCAAACCCAAAAAAAGTAAGGACCATCATAGATATGCTTCTCCCAAGTTAGTAAAGGATGTAAAGAGGCTCCTTAGATGCCTAGCTATTTTAAATCCCTTCATATCCCGACTACAAGAACCATTCATGTTGTTCTTTGCCACTCTAAAAAATATCAATAACTTTCAATGGCTGCTTAAATGCGAGAAAACATTTGAAGAATTGAAAATCTTCCTATCCTCTTTGAAGATTTTATAATAACCGAAGCATGGGGAGACGTTGTTCCTATACCTTGGAGCAAAAACATGGCGATTAGTGTCTCCTTGTTAAGAGAAGAGGAAATGACTTAAAAACCTGTATATTACACTTGTTAAGTTCTTTAGGCCACCAAAACGAGATATCTAAAGGTAGAAAAGTAGATCTTTATACTTGTTAGTACGTCCAAAAAGTTACAACCTTACTTTTAAGCTCATCTTGTAGTGGTCTTAATCGACTAACCACTCAATCATATCCTCCTTAAGCCATACACATTTAATCATTTGGTTCGTTGGGCCATCAAACTAGAAGAATTCAGGCTCTAATACTAACCTCAGCTGACAGTTAAATCATAGGCTTTGGAAAAATTTATCACTAAATATTCCTTCAACAATCTTATAGAAGAGGCACATGCCTCGAAAAAAGCAAAACATAGACCAAAACCCCTTTCTTTAAGACATGGAAAACTGTTAGCAAACAAAGCCTTCAATGTGCACGAATGTGGCACTAGTATAGCACTCGTGAGCCTAGACTAAAGAAATGTTCGAATAAAGGCTTCGTTTTGAATTCCTTTCTTCCAATAATGTAGTTGAATATGAAGCTGTGATAGACAGATTCAACATGGTGAAAGCTTTAAAGGCTTACCTTCTCCATATTCTCAACGACTCACAATTGATTGTGGGGTAATGTGAAGGAATCTTTAAAGCAAGAGAGCCCTATATGGTCAAATATCACCAATTAGTGAAGAAATTACTAGAGGACACCAAAAAGGAAGAAAAATGATCGTTATCTCTTGTATTCCTAGATAGGAAAATGCATGAGCAGATAACTTATCCAAACTAGCAAGCAACAACCCTATGGATTTTCCTCATAGGTATGGATCGAGCTTATGGTGGGCTTCAGGTCCCAAGCACCTCAAGAAGAGGATTAGCAAATCCCAATCGAATGATACTTGAAAAGAAGGAATGCTCCCTACTGATCGGATGGAGGCTACCCGCCTAATAAAAAAACTGTTGAATCTCCCTCCTAGATATGGCTAGCTTTGCCAAAAGTCTATCACGACACCTTTCCTGAAATGCATCTCTCTTGAAGAAAGGCATTATGCGCTTCGTGAGATGCATGGAGTACATAAGAACCTTAAATACAAAGGGTTTCAGGTTCTAATCTTGTTTTTTCTACTCTATATTAATTTTCATCGTCTCTTATACACGTATAAAGATACATACAAAAGCCTACTCAAACATCTCTTCTCTTTGATCACTCGTTTAGCAATCAGAGGATCCATCATCCTATTAGGAAGACTTATTTTGCAAATAACTTGAGAAGAAAAGACCTAAACAAGCCATCAATCATCAGCCATAAAAAATCGCCATTAATTATTATTTGAATTTTTCAGACCCCTGAGATATGATGGATATTTAAGAATAAGACAAAATTATCTATCATGGTACAAAAGCTGTTGGTTTTTTTACTCTTAAATCAAACGGAAACATCCAATCTCGCTGACGATGAAGAAATAAAACTTTTTTAACTAATAGCCGATGTGTTTCGTGTTATCTCGACAGGCTTTTAGATGGTTTCTATTTCAGTCTGCCGCTAATCAGTCATATTTGGGCCATCCTTGGTCCTCAGAACCTTTTATCTGTACTCGGCCTTAGGCCCATTTTTAATTGACGGAAACTATATTTTGTTGTTCTGCTAAAAAACATCCCACAAAGAAAAGGGCCAACTAAAAAAGATATGCTTACTACTTTCTTTAAAAAAAAAGTGTTCTTTCATCTTATTCTTTTATTTATATGGTGTGCAATGTACCTTTCCGTCTCGAACGCCGATGACGAATGGCCCGTGGTCAATATGACCCCGACCAACTTTACAAAACAAGCAGCCAAAAAAGAAAAAAGTTGGCTGTCTCCCTTTAATCATTGTCTCTGAAACTATGGCCCTCTTACAAAGAAACTCTTTCAAAGGCAATGATTTTAGGGTATATCTAAATCATCAACTAACAAAAACTTTCTACTGTTGGCTTCGGGTCTAGAAATCCCACAATCCCTTGAGATGGTCCCAAATTCAAAGAACAAAGAAAAGTTACCAGGGGTGTGCATAATTAACTTCTCTGATTCCTAGAGTACTACATCACATCACTTGAGGCACTCAGCCAAAAATATGTCTCTTCATGATTACGAACTCACTATGTTTATTAGGCACGTTACTGTGTCAAAATGGCACTAACACTTTAACCAGTGGGTGGTGGGCTCCAATTCCACTTTAAATATACAAACAGATTCCCCCATTACTATTGATTTTTTTACTGATAGGACTAAAAGGATCCAAGGGAAAGCTTCTAAACCTAACCGAAGTTAATTTCTTTTTCTTACCTATACTTTTAATCAGGTTTGAGTCATTAACTTCTTAAGATAAAAGTTTAAAGTTAAAAGAGAATTGTTATTTCTCTTTAACTTTATAAATTTGAATTTGTATGACCAATAACGTGATTAATTTATTCTTTCAAATATTCTCGGTTAATATAAAAGTACATCTTTAAAATCTTTCGAAAATGAAATTTTGTTTTGATTAATTTACAAGTAATTCCTAAGATATCTTAACCATAATATATATATATATCTATCTGAGTGATCGCCAAACCACTACATATAGCTGATGATTATGATCACTCAACTCCCACTTTAATTGAAGGGGTACCCTCTCTTTGGCTGTGACAATGTTTTCAACTTCTCCTTCCAAGGTGAGCATAACCAGCTATACGCCTATACCCTTGTTTCACGTATGGTTGCCTGCCTATTGTTTCGAAAAAATGTAACCCCTGTTCTTTTCCATTCTTGAAATCTAAGCAGGAAGATCAGTCCATTGGCAAATGGAACGAAGGCGGTCCTACTCGCAGAGCCAAATGGTGGTACTCAACTTTCCACACTGTCACAGCCATGATCGGTGCAGGTGTTCTAAGTCTGCCCTATGCCTTGGCTTACTTAGGCTGGTATGTTAGTCAGTACTGTAACACAGCTTAAGAAATTCTTATTTAATATGTGCAGTATTTAATTAGAACCAAAACTAAAAGAATTATATTGCTTTTCTTCAGGGGTCCAGGGATAATTGCTCTGGTGTTATCTTGGTCCATGACCTTGAACACGATGTGGCAAATGATCCAACTCCATGAATGCGTTCCCGGGACTCGCTTTGATCGCTACATCGACCTAGGTCGACATGCTTTCGGCCCGAAATTGGGGCCATGGATTGTCCTCCCTCAGCAACTGATCGTTCAAGTTGGTTGTGATATTGTCTACATGGTCACAGGAGGAAAGTGTTTAAAGAAGTTCATGGAGATGACTTGCGCCTCTTGCACCCCAATAAGGCAGTCTTACTGGATTTTGATCTTTGGTGGCTTCCATTTCTTCTTGTCTCAGCTTCCAAATTTCAATTCTGTTGCTGGCGTTTCACTAGCTGCAGCAGTCATGTCACTCAGGTATTTGGTTTAAAATTTTTAATCTCCTTATGCCTTGCTGATAACTAGATAAATTTGGTGCTTGTAAGCCCAGATTTGAATATGCTTGATAAGGTGCTTTGGCATTGAGCTGCAATTTTATAGGATTAATATAACAATTTGGTTCTTTTGTGCATTTCATTCTTGTATAGAGCCCATGCTAATCGACTTTATATCGTTCGGATTTTATTGGATGTCTTTCAAGAGACAATAGAGCATTTTGGTTCAGCAGTTCGTTAGAATGCATGACAAACGGTTTCATAAAACAATGATAAAAAAGCACCATCCATTGAAAATGAAGGAATTTCAGTCTTGAAATGTAAAGTTTGTCATTTCATCAGGGGAAAAAACAGTGGCATCTGTAAGAAAGAATCTTTCCCAATTTGAAGCAAATTTGCTGGATAAACTACTAGTTGAAAGGCCATGCACACTGCTGACATGTAAACTAAATCCGATAGTAGAATTTCAATATATATGAACACACCAAAAGATCGCATGTTAAGTGATTTTCAATTATCTTGAACAATAGTCATTTGGCAATGTTTCAGGAGACAAAATATTAACCTTTGAACACAATAAGATACAAAAAGAACTCAACAGGAGGTAAAAAATGACACAGCTATTAAGCAAGCATATCTATATATATGTACAAACGCACATCTGATGATACTCCATAACCTAGTAATTTGACAAAGAGTTACATGTTATTCTTTTTCTTTTTTTCCTGATTTTCCAACTCGTTGTATTATCGATCTTTTTCCTCTTTGACCTTGATTCAAAAGGCGACTGCCGACCATCTACCTGCCATTGCCTATGAATTTTTAACAAAATGAAAAAAAAAAAAAAAAGACGGAATTCTCTCTACCTAGGACTGATATCTAGACTCAGTACTATTAGACAGTATTCGATTTTACTCTCGAATTGATAGCTATGATTTCAACCATAAATCATTGGTTCTGATACTGAATGTCTATGATTGTTTTTGCATGCTTATAGTACTTGAGGAGCATGACTTTGAACAATCTTGACGATTCTAGTCATGCTTTGTTAGACTCACTTCCATCAGATTGTGAAACTCATAGAGCATGCATGAAGTAAATTCTTGAGTAGAATTGGACAATTACCACACTGGCGATTGCATTAGCATTTACCGATTTGCGAGTAGAAAGTTATTTGATTCCCTCAAAATTTCTGTTGCTCAAAAGCTATTGCTTTCGGTAGGGTAACTCGGGTCACTTCGGTAGATCGAATATATCCTTCTCACTGATTACTCTTTAATCGAGTGACAGCCATCATGATAAGTTAGTTGATTTCCTGGAAGAAAATGGATTTAGACTCGGAGGCTTCTTTATGCGTTTGGTGAAACTTTGGTGACAAAAAACTCAAAACTGACGCTAGGGCAAGTTAATTCATCAACATTTTACAATCAGATGCTAAAGTAAAGCAGACAATTAATTAAAAGGAATGAATACAAATAGTACCAAAGTCAAAAGTTGATACCAGACATGAAAATAAGCTCAAAGGACATCAAGACAGGAACTTTGTATACTTTTCCGTTCCTATTATTCTACGTCGAATTTGGACAAAGTTTTAATTTCTGCTCATAATGGCACCACACCACGCACTGGTCATGCAAAAGCCCTGATTGATTAATATTGTGCTGTACTGTCTTACTCCGTTGAGTTTCCGATTGCAGTTATTCAACCATAGCCTGGGGAGGTTCCTTGTCTCATGGCCAGATTGATAATGTGAGTTATGCTTACAAAAGCACCAGCGCAGCTGACTACATGTTTCGTGTCTTCAATGCACTGGGAGAAATTTCTTTTGCATTTGCTGGCCATGCGGTTGTTCTTGAAATCCAAGCTACGATTCCATCAACTCCTGAGAAGCCTTCCAAAATACCAATGTGGAAAGGTGCAATGGGCGCTTACTTCGTCAATGCAATTTGCTATTTCCCTGTTGCGCTTGTAGGATATTGGGCATTTGGACAAGATGTTAGTGATAATGTGCTTATGGATCTCAAAAGACCCTCATGGCTCATTGCCTCTGCTAATTTAATGGTGGTAGTTCATGTCATTGGTAGCTACCAGGTATAAAATACTACAATATTCATACAATTAGCCATATTCATATGTTCTGCTGGACCTAACAGAAACCTTTTCTAGGTCTATGCTATGCCTGTTTTTGACATGCTAGAGAGGATGATGATGAAAAGACTCAATTTCCCACCAGGAATTGCACTTAGGCTCTTGACTCGCTCCACTTACGTTGGTGAGATTCTATTTTTGGCATTAAGCATCTTCTAGTCTCAAGTTTGCTACTGCTTGACCATTCAATTTATTATCTGTTGAATTTACAAATTATATATGTCCCTGAAATATTGCAGCATTTACACTATTTGTTGGAGTCACCTTCCCATTCTTCGGAGATCTTCTTGGTTTCTTTGGCGGATTTGGTTTTGCCCCCACTTCATATTTTGTAAGCCTCTAAAATAGTTAATATATTACTTGCTGAATCAGTGGATGCTAATTTATCCATGTTGGCTTCTTGCAGCTCCCTTGTGTAATGTGGCTAATAATCAAGAAGCCTAAAAGATTCAGCACCAAATGGTTTATAAACTGGGTAAGCGTAACCATCCAAATGTCATGCATTTCCTTTTCCTATTCCTATTTAAAGCAACAAATTGACCAATGAATTATTTATTAATACCAGCTATTCCTTTTGTCTTCAGGTTTGCATATTTGTTGGGATGTTCATCATGATCGCATCCACTATTGGTGGGCTCCGGAATATTGTTACCGATGCCTCCACCTATAGGTTCTATACATAAACAACGGCAAATATGTATCCGATGGAGTTTGCAAACACTTATTTTTCTATGCTTTTGTTGTATTAAGCAAGCAACAATTTATTAGAACAATCCACCATAATCCTCTACTCCTTTGTGCTGTCATACATATTCAGCAAACAGCCTCTGAATTCCTCCTGGATCCTCAACATCATCATCATATGTCTTAACAAGTATGTTTGGATTTTACACCTAAGTACGTAGTATCTAATTAACTTGATTATTGCCTCCATTCTTTGTCTAATTAACTTGAAGGAGACGGAAGAATTATTGCCAATCACCGAATTTGCCATTAACGGTACAAAAAGGAATTATGAAAAGGGAGACCGATAGTTATAAAGATTGTGCATGTACAATCATTAGTGGTCTCTAGAAGATAGATTTAATATGCCCACACATAAATTACAATAGAAATTATTGAAAATTATATATATATATTTTTGTTATGGTTGAGCAAGTGCTTCAGTGTTTTTTGTAAGTTGGTCAAAATTTAATTTAATATTTATAGAGCTAGACTAGAAACCTTTTTTTTCAACTTAATTTTGCATTTCCATTGGGTATAAATGTGCTTGACTCACCACTACAGTCCAATAAGTTTTAAGTTTTTAATTATGACTTATAGATTTTATTCAAAATAAAAATATATAATAATAAATAGTATTAAGTTAAAATAAGACATGACATAAAGGCCACACTAAAGGAGTGTTTGATAAAATTGAAAATTAATTACTGAATTTGTTTAGTACCGAATTTTAAGTACCGAATATGTTCCCGATAAACTCGTTTGGTATTTATTGAAAATTAAGTGCTGAATATAATAAACTTGTTTGATAAGTACTGTTGTTGAACATATTAAGGCTATATACATGACAATTTTAAACTTATAATTATAACATGATATTTTTTAATATAAATAAAAATATATACATAGATATGTTGCGTGTACAAATAAATACATAAATAAATAAAATTCAATAAAAATGATTATTAATAAAAAATTAAATACGGTCTAAGATAACATTAATTGACATTTTAGATTTCGAGATGGTAACACCGATAATGGAGAAGGTTTACTTTATTTTAACAATGAGGATAGTAGAGATTATTTTTCATTTAGTTTGTATATCTAAAATTATAAAAATATATAAGGACGATAAAGTCATATTTGAAAAGTTTTAAAAATTTTTCAATCGAACGTGTTAATCAAAAAGTAATAAGTTAAAAACTTGAACTTACTTGATTAAGTATATTTTGATTGAACTTAAATTTTTAATATGAGATTATTTAGGTTATCAAACAAACTTTTTATATTAAGTACTACAACTTAATTTTTTAAGCTACTTAAATAGGTCATCAAACACCCCCTAAAGGATGTTTCTCATATTCTTCTATTTACCCTATGCGACACTAACTAAAAGTGACAATTCATTTATGGAGTCTAAATCAAGAGTACAATATATAAACCATAGAGATCATATTATACAACCAAATATTTCTTTTTATATATTATAATACATTACATTATCATAATAAGTACTTAAGGAGTAAATAAACTTTATAAATGAACTTTTAATAGAATATTCGGGTTTAACTTTATCTCGGTGAATATAAAAAATAATACTTTATGTGCACAAAAATCATAAAAATTTATAATATTAACATAAAAGAATATCTAAACAATCTATATATAAAAAAATAAAGTCAAACATCAAATAGATTAGTTAGACATATACGATCCATATGATCTCTATATTGTGTTGCCATAAGTGTTTTAGTCATGAGATTTGTAACCATTAGTTTAGTGCTAATATTCTCAATGAGCACTTCATGTCCATTCACTTTTTTTCTTACAATGAGATACTTTAGGTCGATATACTTGTTTGTATTACGATCGAATTATCACAATAAATCTTTACCGGTATTGACATAAAATCAACAATATTTAGACCAAAAATAAAATTTCTTAACTAGATAACATGTGTTATTGTTTTATAGCATGCAATGAATTCTCGTTTGTATAGTAGACGAAGCAATAACAATTTATTTAGTACTTCTCCAAAATACAACTCCTACAAGAAAAAGAAAAACATATCCTAAAGTAGACTTTTTTGTGTCTACATAACCAAGTAAAAATCAAATCCGAATAACCAACCACCTTAAAATGATTATTATATTTATAAGTCGAGTATGTAATATTTGATTCCTCGTGGATATGTTATGACTTCCTTAGTAGTTTTCTAATGTTCAATTTCAAGGTTACTTTGGAACCTTATCAACATTTCTACCGCAAATGCCAAACAAATCTTGTGCAAATCTATGGATATATCAAATTGCCTATTATAAATGTATAAGAAATGTTCCTTATCAAGCAAACCGTAGACAATACTTGCAAGCAAAATATTAAGTACATATAGGATTAAAAAAAATATGCTCCCACTAACTTTAAATATATTTATTAGTCAACAATATTCTCAATAAACCTATATGAGATAATAATATTATGAAACTTAATATAACATTATCGAAGGCTTGTTTTAGCCTATAGATTTCTTTAGCTTACAAACCAAGTGACTATTTCTTTCATAACAAAAACCTCCAAGCTAATTCAAGTATACCTTTCTATCCAAATTTTCATTTAAAATTGATATTTTTGCATTCATATGACGTAGCTCTAAATCAAAATGAGCTACCAATACCATCATGATTTCAAATGAATGATTCTTATAGATTGAATTGAGGATTTCATGTTAATTTATGCCTTCTTTTTAGGTTTGAATTTTAGCTACATGTTGAATTTTATATTGTTCGATATTACCGTAAGAATTTTTTTTATAAACCCATTTGCAATCAACGACTACGGATCCTTTTGATAACTCAACGAGGTTCCAAACTTAATTTTTAGACATAGGCTCATCTTTTACTCGATACCATTATATCATAAAGAGAAGTTTTCTCGCTTAATGGCTTATGAAAATAAGTTTAGATTGTCTTTAAGTCCAACATAAAAGTCGGACTCCCGAAGGTATACAATATAATTATTAGAAATTACTAATCTCTTTACTCTTGAGGATCTCTTTAATTCAACTTCTTTATGTGAATTTATTTCATCAAGTGTTAGTTGCTCTTAAATTGGTTATTATTCAATATTATCTTATTGATTTTCTTGAACAATAACTTATTGTCTTCTATCTTTATGTATTCAATTAAATTTTGTGTTTCTTTAAATTCTATTTTTTTGAGAAAAAATTACTCTCACTAATGTCAAGATCCTAAAAAAAAATTAGCATTTATTACATATAATGTTCTTGCATTAAGAGAATGACTTATATGTATCTTTTAAAGGTCACTCGCATAACTAATAAAATATCCACTAATTGTTCTTGGATCTAATTTATTTAATTGAGAATTATCAATCATTACCTAACAAAACTATCCTTATACATATGTATGATTTAAACTAGCTAGGTTTCTATCCATTTTATTATTCAAAAGGTGTCTTAAAAACATAATTAGATTGAATCTTATTTAAAATATACACAATAGTCTATAATGTTTCACTTTATAAAGATAATGGTAGATTAGAATTACTAACATGCTCTCACCATATCTATAATAGTACAATTCCTTTTTTAGTTGTACTTATTTTTAAAGTGTATCGTGCATTGTGTATATTGTACAATAATTCCTTGTCTTTCAAGTGCTTCGGCCTTATTAAATGAAAAATAGAAATATATAAATCTAGAATGGTCATCAATGAATGGGATAAAATGTTTTTTATTATTTAGGCAAAGATTATTAAATGATCCACATATATTAGTGTGTATGATTTTTAAAACTTATGAGTTGTTCGTGACACATTTAGTGGTCTTATTAGTTTGCTTTTTCATTATACAATCCACATAAGTACCAAAAATCAAGTAAAATCAAAAGTGTTTATAAAACTTCATTATTCATCAATCTTTTAATTCTTTTAATTGAGATGTGACCTAATCTCTTATGCTACGAGATATACAGAGAAATACTCATCAATTTTGCTCCTTGTAATACTAGTATTAACATGCATCGATAAATAGTTGAGTTCAAAATTAGGATGTATATCAATTTTATATAAACCATCAATTAATGTTTCACCAATAATATAAATTTTATTTTTTAAAATACTAAAAATGTTTCCATCAAACGAAATCCATGGCAAACACTACAAAGTTTGGAAACCGAAATTAAATTTTTTTAAATGATAGAACATAAAATCTATTTTTCAAATTAAAAATGAATCCATATTTTAAAATTAATCTAAAAATCCATGCAACTTTAACTTCATATTACATCCTCTTTCTTAAACAAACTCCTCATATATTTCCTTTAGACTTTCTTATATCCAAAAGGCTCTACATAGTATTCATAATATGAATTCTAAAATCGAATCAATCCACTATGTATTATTAAAAGCTTCAATAAAAAAAATATTCATAACACACTAAAGAGATGAGTTTACTTTTCTTTATGAGCTATTTTTGATATTTAAGACAACTTTCTTAACGTGTCTATTTTTTGTAGAAAATAAAATTACTATTATCATAATTTTGCTTTATTGGCATATTTTTATGTTTCTTTATTTTGAGGACATTTCCTTTCTTGGCATTTCTCTTAACTTGAGAAACAAATGAGCGAGTTTCAAGTTTCTCGAGTTTTAGTAATCTTTCTTCTTAAACACAAAAGCCAATAAGTCACTAATTGACTCTTTTTTTTTTTTTTATGTGTTGTATGAAATCTAAAATGAATCATATTCTACAAAGAGAGAGGTCAAAATGAAATAAACTAAGAATGACTAAAAGATCTCTACTTCGAAGACTTTAATTGTACAACATTATCTTTCACTTTCATAATGTACTCGCTAACATCTTTAGAATAGCCAAATGAGTTATTTGAAAGTTTTTCATTATGGTGTTGGCTAATGTCTTATCAAAATAAATAAATTTTTCTTCTATGGCTTTTAAAAAATCTTTTACCTTAGAACATTTAGAGATAAAGCTTTTAATATTGTTATTTATATAAGACTTTATAAGTATTAAATTTAAGCAACTAGATCACTCTTACTACTCATAATTAGTCTTTTCTTGAGCATTACTTGAATATGTAAGGATATGTCATTTATTTACACATAATGCCATATCCAAATTCACACATCCCAATGTAAAGATGATATTTTCTTTTCAATCATTAAAATTATCACAAAATATCATTAGAATTCTAGATTTATCAATAAAAATAGTCAAAAAAAGCTACAATAACCAAGAAAATACTTTAATATTATGAAAAGTATATTTTATCTAAATTAACCAAGCTCAATTTAGTTGTAAATTCTAATCTTTTTGTAGGCGAGAGGTTGCAAATGCATACAATTCATTAATTCTTTAATAATTAGACTAATAAATAAATACAAAGATTATTAACACTATATGGCTAGAATAAAATTCATTCTTACTATCAATTTATTATTTTATTTTAATTAAATCATAAAAATAACAATCTCTGTGGGGGTTAGATCATTGTTTTTATGAAATAATTATAAATTAAGCTATATATTTTATGAGCATATTAATTTAATAACTTTAATGTGATCATGAAAATAAGCTAAGAGGCTATAATTAAGTCAATTGACATCCTAAACTCAACGTAACATATATAATTTAATAACTAGAAACTTTATGTGGATATACCATAATAATTATTTAAATCGTATCATTATTTGTTTCTTTAACGATTGTTGTATAATAAATATATTAATAGATATCTGGTATATTTATATAACTTTCATAAAAAAAATTGAATATGTTAGATAAACAAACATTTTTTGCGTGTATAGATTACCTATATTGTGTTTGTTAATGAAATAATATGGCACCAATAATTGACATGCTTCCTGCTTGCATCAGTTTAACGGTGTCCGTATTTTCATAGCAAGGGTTTCCTGCAAGCCTATATTTTGTTCTTCTTTCTATTTTATTCCATATTTCATTCATTGACCATAGTATGCGGTGAGAAAACTGACATGCTTATTTCTTAAATCACATATTTAAATATAATTAATTAAAAAAAATTATGTATTAATCAATATAGCAAGTATGTGGTTCTTATACCACATGTGACATAAATTTATTGAAAATTAATAAAATACATACCTTATGTTATGATTGAATATGTATCCAAATAGTTTTTTAAAAAAGTGAAGTCATAAAAAAAAAATCTTTTAAATTATATCAATACTTCATATTTTTTTCATATGTTAAAGAATGATACAAAACTTAATTTAATATTTATATGACAACCAGAGATTTTTTTAATCTAATTTTATAATTTCATTTATTATGAATGTAACTGACTCATTATTAGAGTTTAATAAACTTTAAATTTTTAATTGTCACTTTATATATATATATATATATATATATATATATAGGTGTCAAATGTTTGAGAAAATGTCTTAGAAGTATTTATGAGGTTAAATTGAAAGAATGAAAGTTATCTTCGTTTGGTCTAAATTCGATCAAGTATGGAAAAACAAGGATAAAAAGGTGAATAATAAATATGAGGTTTAGAAGTATAAATGAAATAGAAATGATTGTTTATCTTGCTTATTTCACTTGGCCTTCATATGATACTTTTCATGTTCTCGTGTTGCAGAAATGACGTACACTTAAGCCAAGCCATGTCATAACTTTGAAAACACATTTGTCGAACTGGATCATGGGATGTGGACCGCTTAACTGATTAAGGATTAACTTTGACCTAAGTCATCAAAACCCAATGCCCCTTCTCATTTTCTCCTAAAGTGGTTACCAAAAGTGATCATCAGTGTAAGTACCCATAGGACGGTGATCGATACATTGTGGCGCAAGGAGGTACGCTATGATTAACGGAAGTCGCTTTGGGTAACTCAGTACTACAGCCAGATGTACTTTTCTTCCACTGCATTACTATTTGCTGGCTATGATTATCTCATTTGGTCAAAATTTAAAGAATAAATATTACTGCTACTTTTAATGAGTAACTTTCCAAAGTCATCTACTGAAAAATCTTACATATCGAGTGAGGAAATTTCACTAGTAAATCTCATACATCCAGTGAAATTTTCCCAAAAGTGATTTTTAGAAAAAAAAATAAAAATCCATAAGATTGTGTTATTCTTTGGGCTATTTTTAAAAGGAGAGATAGTTATGTAAAAAATTAAAATAAAAATATATCTGCATCCATAAAAAGTGGTAAGAAAATTTTTATCTTTACTTAATTCTTTTCAAAAAATTTTCTTCTATTTTTTTTTTAATATCTATCTCTTTATAAAGTAATTTATATCAATTATTGTTTAAGTATCATAAACATGATATTGATTTTTGATACATTTATGAATTTGAAAAACATATGGAGATTTGATACTACCTATACTTTATAAAAAAGAAAAAAGAAAAGATATATGTAAGAAAAGTAAGATCAGAAGATCCAGTCAACAAGGAGGAAAAAAAGTTAATGCTTACCGAAAACCGATTTCGCTTTTGTTTAGAAAATTTGTTTTAGGATGCTGAGGAAACAAATCACCAAGTTACTAAAGCATAATTAAGTGACGCAGAATGATTGAACCGATGCATAAATATTGAATCGTGGTCTCATGGACATGCTTCTAATGATGACATTCAAGCAGTGCAAAATTTCAGGACTCTCTTTTGTGAAAGAGAGAGAGGACTTGAAGACAACCTTTTGACCCACAAAAGTTGCAACGTAGGCCCAAAATGTTTGCCTTCGGGCATCAAACGCCATTTAATAATGTGGTCCAACACCCCAAAATCATGGAGCCCATTAGTGGTCTAAAGAGTTAAGCATTGAACCGTTTTATTAGTAGTCACAGACACTAATTAATCATGCTAATCGCAATGAAACCCTCATTACCTTTAATAATAAATCCTCAAATTCTTGCAAACAGACTGGACTTAAAAGACATGTCTCTTTCATTAGACCCACAAAGATTAACAAAACATGCAAAGCTAATGATCCCACAAAACAACACACTCTGTCAAAGACAAGACAACAAAATATTTTCCCTCTCTTTAAATTTATCCTTTGAAACCCCACTCACTCAAAGCTTCACTCTCCCTACTTGTATTTAATTTCCTCAACAAGCCAAGCGTGAATCCTTTCCTTTTATATATTACCCGACCTTTCCTTCCTCCCTACTGGCCTTGGTCTTGTGCTCCTTCTTGCTCTCATTCTCCAAAATGGCGACTCTCTACTTCGTTATCTTCTCTCTGTTTTTCACTTCTCCGTTTGTTTCCTCCTATCGAACGCTAACACCACAGCCCTTCAAAACGACAGTCCTTGAAGTCGCTGCCTCCATTCAAAATACCAAAAATATTTTCTTTACTGACCCTAAAATGTCACCGTTTAACCAACAAGAGAAAGAAACTACCTCGTCAGAACGAATTACGGTAGAGCTGCATTCTAGAATTTCCATTCAAAAAACTACACACACTGACTACAAATCACTAACCTTATCTCGCCTTGAGCGCGACTCAGCCCGTGTCAAATCTCTCTCGACTCGTTTAGATCTAGCCATCAATTCCATTTCCTCGTCAGATCTTAAACCACTTGAGACTGATTCAGACTTCAAATCTGAGGATCTACAGAGCCCGATTATATCAGGTACGAGTCAAGGAAGTGGTGAGTACTTCTCCCGAGTTGGAATAGGAAAACCACCGAGTCAAGCTTATTTAATACTCGACACCGGTAGTGACGTTAACTGGGTACAATGCGCACCCTGCGCTGATTGTTATCAGCAAGCCGACCCCATCTTTGAGCCGGCTTCCTCGGCTTCCTTCTCTCCTCTTACTTGCAACGCCAAACAATGCAGGTCCCTCGACGTGTCAGAATGCCGGAATGACACGTGTCTCTACGAGGTTTCTTACGGGGACGGGTCTTATACAGTTGGTGATTTTGTTACCGAGACCATCACTCTCGGCTCGGCTTCAGTTGATCATGTGGCTATCGGCTGTGGACATAACAATGAAGGCTTGTTTGTCGGAGCCGCTGGGTTGCTTGGACTTGGCGGCGGCTCATTGTCTTTCCCTTCTCAGATCAATGCAACGTCATTTTCTTATTGCCTCGTGGATCGTGATTCTGAGTCTGCTTCAACTCTCGAGTTCAACTCAACTCTCCCTCCTAACGCCGTTACTGCTCCGTTACTCCGGAACCACCAGCTTGATACCTTTTATTATGTTGGATTGACGGGACTGAGTGTGGGTGGTGAGTTGGTATCGATTCCCGAGTCGGCGTTTCAGATTGATGAATCAGGAAATGGAGGGGTGATTGTTGATTCGGGAACGGCCATTACTCGGTTGCAAACGGACGTTTACAACTCTCTGCGTGATGCTTTTGTTAAGGCAACGAGGGACTTGCCGTCAACTAACGGGATAGCGTTGTTTGACACGTGTTATAATTTGTCTTCTAGAGGGAATGTGGAGGTGCCGACGGTGTCGTTTCATTTTCCTGATAGGAAGGAGTTACCGTTACCGGCGAAAAATTATTTGGTTCCGCTTGACTCAGACGGGACGTTTTGTTTTGCTTTTGCCCCAACGGCTTCGTCTTTGTCAATTATTGGGAACGTGCAGCAGCAGGGGACACGTGTCGGTTATGATCTCGTTAACTCTCTTGTTGGGTTCGTGCCTAATAAATGCTAGAGAAAGTAATTTTTTCTTAACTGCCAGAAGTGGCTGAAACTTGAAAGAAGAAGGTCATGGATGATGCACGTGTTGACCAATGTTTATGGTTTAGTTTTTTTTTTTTTTTTTTTTTACTATTTTAATTTACACTTGGTAAGTATGAAGAGGGAGTTTTAGCACTTTGGAGACAAGGGAAAACTTCACAAGCATAAAGTGATGTATATTGTGATGTTAATTAATGACTAATAGGTAACCGTTGCCTTCTAGTCGTTCCTGTTATTTAAAAGAATCATGCAATGAGGAGATATATAGTAATTAAGCAATGTTGGCTGTATATGTGGTTATTTATTACAGGGGTTGACAAAATATGTAGTTCCACTTCCGTTTTCTTGTTTCTCTTTTTTAAGAGCGATCCACGGTGCCCTTGAATTCTTATTTATTTATTTTGTCGGTGCAGGAGATGTTTTCGTTCTGTTTGAGCTTTTATTTGATTGTTTATATACTAGTAGATATATACTACTGTAGTACTGCTTTATTGGGTGACGAGTGTTATTTGGGCGGAGAACAGTCCACATGTTTATTCATGGCATTTGTGCCGTATGCCCTAGGGGATACGGAATTCTGAGTCTTTGACTTAGGGTCTGAGAATTTTTTTTTCTTGTGTGTGTAAATTATGCCGCATCAGCGCGCGAGCCATAACACTCTTTTCCATGCGAAAAGGGCAAGTTTATGACCTAGTCTTTTCAAGTCGAAATTAAGGGTTGATTACCGGTCAAGTTTATTCAGGTCCATGTCAACCCTCATAATAAGGGTTAAGCTTGAAGCATTCCATGGTTGACTGAGCAGATTTCGTTTGTTTACATCCTGGATTTCTTCGAAGTATTTCACGATCAGTGTCTTTTGAAAGTTATATTACATGGCATGCATTTTGAATTCAAAGGATACGATTTAACATTAAACAAAATAAGCAATACGTGTTTGCTGAGCTGTGGATTGGGTTAAATCAGCTACCGTTTGAAAAAAATCGTCATGCATGTTTCCTGGTGCATTGTGGACTGTTGAAATGGACATTAGATGCATGGGATGGACTGGGATCGTGTGGTTGTCGCCATGCCAACAATTTATTGGGCTAGGCTTGTTGGTTTGTTGGCAATTTATTGTCATTTTATCCATTTCTTGAGCCCAGCACAATCGAGGCTGAACCAGGCTTGTGTGTGTAATTCAAATTGTATGTAAAAAGTACACGATATTAAATTTGTCTAGCCGGATTAGCCCATTCTTTGTTGGGTCTAATGTTTATAACTATCGAGGCTGTGTTTTAATTTTTAAATTGTTTTTGGATATTTTTCATGCTGTGATGTCAAAACTATTTAAAAAAAATACTTGAAAACTATTAAATTTAATGTTTTCCCAGTCAAAAATGCAATTTTATAAAAACACATGCACTGCATTACTGAATGCACACTAAAAAAGTAATCTTAAAAGGTAATTTTGGTGTTTACGTAGATTTGTTGGTTCATTTAACTTTTAAAGTTTGAATATTAAAATCACAGTCCAAAAGAATTATACTTCTTTGAATGTACTAAGTTGTTGTGAAAAAAAAATTGTTTGAAAGAAAATTCACTTTAGGTTAATGCAAAACTGATTCAAAGATGTTCTTACCTTTTTTTTTAAAAAAAAAGTTCGACTAGAAAAATTTCGTTTACAAAAACAAAGCACACAAGCAGCTGATAGCAAGTATCCTGATTGTGCACGACTACAACATATTTATTGATGCATCGTATTCCATGTTAATAAGAGATTACTTAGCACTCAAAATCTCTTAATAAGAAAAAAACAAAGAAATTGTAAAAAAGAAACTTACAAAACTCAATTTTTATTTATCGTTAGTATCTAATTTCCTTATTACAACCTTTTAAAAAAAAATTAAAAAAAACGCCAATAATACTGAATAGGAAAAATAAAAATAAAATCCTAAAATGCTAGTTTTTAATAACACTTAACTAATTAAATAATAAATTATATATAAAAAAAACTAAACAATTAAAAAAAGATTACACTGCATAGGGAATATAAAGTTATAGATTGACCAGCTCATGACAGGAGGCAAAAATGCTGAAAGATGAAGTTATGTTAGTGACAGCAAGGTGGTTGTATTTAATTGATTTTATTTAATTCGTGTAGTTTGCATCGAATAGCTTTTCTTGGAATGATAGTTCCTCTCTATAAGGTGGCAGGTGCTGACGAGGAATTGGATAAAATGAAGAATCACATGGAAACTAAAATTCTAAATTCTAAATCCCGAGAGCGCGTACTCACCACACTCAACACCAAAGGAAGCCTGTGTTTAGCTATGCAATTTTATGGAAATGAAATCTTAAATCTCGCCGCTGAATCATCTTTGTGGTTCCACAAATGCATAATTTGAGTATCGGTTTGTTTTACTGCAAATAATCTTATCAGTAGTGAAAAATAAAATCTCAAACAATTTAATCATGTTGTTAGAGAATAGTATAAATTATATTATAGGACATCACTTATTAACTCAAACTTTTAGATGAGATGATCCTTTAATACGGTATCAAAGCTTGATTGACCTTAAGGTCCCGAGTTTAAGTCTCATTATCTCTAATTTTTCAAGTATTAAGCACAAGCACAACGTAGACCTATGCAAGTTTCATGTCCCAAATGTTGAGCCTCTCATTTGAGGAGATGTATTAGAGATTAGTATATAATTATATTCTAAAACTTCATTTATTAACTTAAGTTTTTAGGTGAGATAATCTTTAACACATGCGATAAAAAATAATCTTAAACACTACAGCAATCTGGGCAGAAGAACACAGTTTGATTTATTCTTCTTTTCAAATAACCATATTGTATTTGAAATGATCGGCATCTACTTTCCTCTAGCTTGGAGCGGTGCGCATATGCGCGAAGACAATGCACATTCATGCCACGCAGCCATAATGATTGTGTTGGCCTGAAAAGTGATAGCGTGTGAGATTTAAAGGACAGACTCGTACGTATTGTGTGCACCCCAACCATTTATGTGATCATAATGTTTCTTTATCCCGTCCTATGAGGTTAAAACCAGGAGCACCACGATTGAGATTAGATTGCTCATACTAATACTGAGAAATTATTTATCATTAACAGAAATTAAGGTGTTGGATGTAGTTGCCATAAATTGTAATACATATATGTAAAAAAAAAAAAAAATGAATCAAACTTGAGTGACTGTTATGAAAGGAAATGAAAATTTTCTTTTATTTAGTTAATAACTATATATTGATAGTTGGATCTTATCAAATAGGCATGTCTATTTGAAATGCAAGAGGAAAATCAAACCATATGTTTTAATTACATGAGAAACAGAATCTTCAAATGCATGTTCTAACGCATATTTGAACTGCAGATCGAGCGTAATTGTTTGTTTTAAAAATTATGTGCAGAGAGACATGAATATTCTTGAATTACGTACAGTGAATATTTTATACAAATAACTATATTTTAGTAATTATGACTTTTTACAAACTATAAACATTTGTGAAGAGATTATTACCTTTCTTTTCTTCTTCCTCGTAAAATTTTTCCTTTTTTTTTTTTTTTTTGTATGTTTTAAAAGAAATGTAGAAAGTTGTTATCCTAAGTTTTTTGGAGGCTTTGTTTAGTTCTTGAAGTGTATTTGTATTAAAATCCTATAACTAACCATATCTGTAGTGAGGCAAATATCACTTTAAAAAGACTAAAAAATATTTGTTTCTCTATTTAAAGTCATATGTTCATTTTCAAATCCCCATGCACCAACAAAAAATGCATAATTCATGATTTATCAATGGCGAATTCAAGAGTAGACTTGATTGTCAACGAGATTTTCTCTTTTGATTTTTTGAATTTAAACATTGGAGCCGCCATTTAAAAAATATATATTTTTTCATAAATGTTTAAATTAATCGTGGATCCAAATATATTGTCATGGTTGATAAAAAAAAAAAAACGAATAACATATTTAATCAATCCATAGGTGAGATTTTCTCAAGTAAAAAATAATAAGTAAATAAATGAAAGCATTAGTTTTTATTTTATTTTATTTTGAATGGGTTCTGATTACTTCATAAAATTCAACTAGATCAACTAATAATAAATTATTTAGACAGTCCAACTTAAAACTCAACTCATTGTCAATTACCAAGTTTCTATCATAAAATATCAGCTACATCAGCTAAGAGTTTTGACAAGATCAGTGACTTGAAAATATGAATATCGATATATTGAATTTAGATTGCATTATAGTAAGACTCAGATCCATTTTTTTTTTTAATAAACAGATAAAATCAGATTTTATGAATTTGAATTCGAGATTTGTAATTTTCATTTTCAATCCTAATGAATTCAAATTTAAATATTCATCAGATTTATTATTATTATTTTTAAAATGTTGGCTACATTCAAAATTATGTTTCAATGTAAAATGAGTATCAATTATTGCATGTATAAAAAAATGATAATATTTAACATGTCAATTTTTTTAATAAAAAATATCTAACTTAATTACCACCATTAAAAGGAACAAAATCAAATAATTATGATAAAATTTTGTATTAAAGATCAAAATTAATTTAAATTAGCAATAAATATAATGAAGTTAAGGAAAAATAATAAAAATACATGCTTAATATATATATATATATATATATATATATATAATCCCATTGTCTTACAAATAACAAGTTTGAAATAAAAAAACATTCAAATTAAATCAAAATTTTATAAATTAGAAACATAAGTACAATGCTAACAACAATTCATTAATTTTTTCATACATTTAAGGATTTTTTTACAAGATTAATTTGATACTTGAAAAATAATGGAAAAAAACACTTATCATGTAATTGTTTAAAAAAATAACCGTCAATGTACAGGAAAAAAAGGTAGAACGTTTCTTAGCATCTAAAAGAAATGAATTATAAATCTAAATCTGGTGCTGTATATTTTTTAAAATATTTTTTTATTAAAAATAAAATCAATATTAATTTCAAATCGGATTATTATTGTACTATATCAAAATAAATTTGTATTTTAATTAATTTAATAAATAAATAAACAATTTATATTATAATCAAACTCAAATTATAAAATTGATATAGCAAATATATTAAATTACATGAGAATCAGACCAAGATCTTATCTATGGATGATCCTACTTCAACGTTCAATTAAAAATTTAACTCATTCCGAGTCACTGAGTTTGGAGACCATAAAGCTCGGTCGAATTGGACAACATCATGTTTGAAAAGATTAAAAGATTTAAAAAAAAAATGAAAAAGAAGAAGAATAAAAGCGTGGCGCGTGGCGGCAGTACGGTGCAGTGCATTACCGTTTCGGAAGACGGTCCATAACACACAATAGGCTCCATGCTGGCGAATCAAAGCCACTTCAACATCTCCGTTAACGCCAAATTGTGTGCTCTCTCTCTCTCTAGCCGTTGAGTTTCGGTTTCCCCTCCATTTCGCGCAACGTTCCTCAAAATCAACTCTCTGCCATTATTTAATCTCATACACTCTCCATTGACCCTCTCCTCTCCCCTTTTCTTTCACGTTTTCAGTCTTCATCCTTCTCTCTCTCCATTTACTTTGACAAAACTGTCTTCAACTTGACCGCTAATTAACAATGCTTTAATCATTTAACTCATCTCATCCCTCCTTCAAACCAACCTCTCTATCAGAAACGCCATGAACGACTCTCCTAGTTCCTCCTCCGATTCCGCTTCCAAGGCTGCCATCGATCAGGTTCTCCTTTCCTCCACTTCTTCAATTTTCATTCACTGTACAATAGTTAATTAATTCTTAATCTTTTAAATTTTCTACTTTTAAATTATGAGGCAGTGATTTCAAAATTTATGTTTGTTTTGATGTTCGATGTTTCTTACGTTGTTTTTATCAAATTAATAAATCTTTCAGTGTTTATGTTTTGGTTTTGAGTCATTTCAGAATCTCTGTGGGTCCCTTAAATACCCGCTTGGGACCAGCATGTATCTGTATGTTACAACGTTAGTACTGGAGTTTTTCAGTTCAGGGGCCATTTTTAGTATATGCAGACACGAACGTTTGGATTAAGGAATAATTAAGTTTGTTGATTTTTTTATGTAATTTTCTATAACATTGATTTAATTTCACAGTTGATTACCGGACAATTCTTTATTATTTTTACTATGTTAGTGATTGAGTATGCTGAATTCGGATTTTTTTCCCTCTATGTTTTATTGTGGTTGTAGACTGTAGGGAGGAGTCGAAGAAGTGGAAGTGGTGATCAAACGCTGGCGACCGATATACCTCGCCATTGGCATGATATTTTTTGGTTAGGAGTATTTTTATTTCATCTGATGGGATTAGCACTTGCTCTTGCAGTTCTCGGGCTCAATAGGTTTAAGAAATCGGATAGGTTTAATTTTGATAGATACACTAGTAACACGACTGGTACCGTGGAGAAGAGTCATGGACTTACGGAGGATTATTGGCCAATGTATGGTCTTGGTGGTGGAGTTGGGACTGTACTTGGGTCGGCTTGGTTGTTGTTGCTTGGTTCTCAGGCGAATCATATGATGAAGATCTCGGTGCATATTTTGACCACTTATCTTGCTGTGGTTAGTGTTTTGTGTTTCTGGAGCGAGCAGTTTTTTTGGGGTGTCACGTTTGCAATTGGTGCTGCTTTGCAATTTTTGTATGTCATATCTGTTATAGACAGGTACGGGCTTGAAATGATATGGCTTTGCATTTAGATGTAATTATGGTGAGTGTCTGGTACTTGTAAAGGGTTGTCTCTGGCTCACAATTTCATTAGATTAGGGCAAAAGGTTGAAAAAAATCTATAAGAGAGTTGTGCATCTTATATTTATGCAATAACAAGTTGAGCACTTAAGTTTGAGTTTGAAGTGTTCCTTTTAATGAATGACCATTTTGCTATATAGCCTCTTTATCACACGCATTGCTTGTGAATCATTGTACTAATTACTAACAATCTTCTAATTTAGACAGATCAAGCTTTTAATCAATTGAAATGCCTAAGTAAATTTGAAATGCTGTTGATTGCCTATAAATTTAGCAGGTGTGATCTTTAGAAGAATGATTTTATCGCCTAAGTAGGCTAAATGTTTACTTATTTTTTCATTATTGTTCATTCATTGTTTTATCCATAGCGCTACATTTTTTTTTTTTCAGTTCGCATGAAATTGTTATTATGAGGCTTGGACTGTATAAGAAGCATGGCTATATGAAAAATAGATTTTGGTGCACTGCAGCCCCTGTTTATTTGTGAAAGCTTAAGATATGTTCTTCTTTTTGGAGGAGGTCTGGAACATGTTAATTTGCAGTTGTCAAGTTTATGCTTCATCATCTATATCTTAAAGCAAATGCAGACTTACTGTAGTTTCAATTATTATATCATATGCATCTTAGGTGGCAGCATAGATCGTAAGTGTCTGGAGCCAAAGCCTTTTCTTGTTTCCCTTAAACTTGCATATTTACATCGAGTTTCACCAAGGATATTTCACTTAATTTTCTTTTTTTCCCCAACTTGCTTTCCAATTGGTTAACTTGTAATGAAACAACCTACAGATCTATCCTGCAGTGATAAAATTTAGAAAACTATGCATGTGCAATTTTGCAGTACGTGAACTTTTCCTTAATGCGAAATCAGATGCAGTATTTAATTTCGTTTAAGGGTTCTATTTCTAATTGAAAACTTGGATATCGAGATCTCCCTCTGACTATTTTCTGTTATTTCACAGACTCCCATTTACCATGCTGGTGCTTCGAAAAGCTGTGAAAATGGTATGGAGCCTTCCTGAAGTTATGAGAGTTTCCTATGCGTTCATGCTAGTCATGCTTTTGTGGATGGGATTGTGGTCTTTTGGAGCAGCGGGTGTTGTGGCTTCAAACATCAATCTCAATGGACGCTGGTGGCTTCTTGTGGTGAGCTGGCAAGTTTTGCTCTTTATTCCATCTTTTGTTACTGGGATGAGAACTGCAACAAAGTTCTACTAGAACATCCCTCAGCTATAAGAGACCTTTGTAATGTTGTTAATTGCACACCCAGGTTCTGTCACTAAGCTTATTTTGGACGGGTGCAGTCCTTTGTAATACTGTGCATGTTATAGTGTCTGGGATGGTGTTCCTTGTTCTTATTCATGGAGGCCGAGAAGCAGCATCTATGCCTTCCAACCCTTTGATGAAGTCTCTGAGGTATTCTGTGACGAAATCTTTTGGCAGCGTTTGCTATGGATCACTCTTCACCGCTGCAATTAGGACACTCCGGTGGGAGGTAGGCTTGCCAACATTTTCTTTCCTCTAACTGGTTCACTAGCTTGTTTCCAGCATTGATTTTGTTTCTGTTTCTCCATTTTTTTAACTTCAAAGTACATTTTAGATCAGGGGATTGCGGTCAAAGATAGGCAAGAATGAATGCTTGCTTTGCTGTGTTGATTTTCTATTTCATCTTGTGGAGACTCTTGTCCGCTTTTTCAACAAGTATGCGTATGTCCAGGTACTTTCTGTTGATGTTTTGTCTCCTATACATTATTTATAACCGAAGTAACTGTCTATTAGCTTTCAATAACCTTTTATTTATGGTGACCTTGTGGTCCATTAATCATGAAACTGCCAGCACAGCAAAACGTTTATGAAAACCACAACATTCTCAATTTTTTCAGTCATGAATTTCATAGACAATGGAATGTCCCTTTTCTCCTATGGATTGAAGCTTGTCTTCCAACAAAATTTTTTGACACCAGTACTTTTAAAGTATACTTCATGGAAGTAAAATAGTTATCTACAAATTTTAGGACCAGGAAATGATGCAAATTTGAAATCATGCAGTTTAAAAACCAATGATGAGGAAGAAAGAGGGCGTCGAGGAGAATAATGAGGGAGAAACAAGTTATTAAAAGACGATGGTGAATTACATTTTATACCTTGAAAGGAAGGGCCTTAATGCCTGGAAGGGATGTTTTCACACATAGTCATCTTAGTCAAGTAATAAATAGGAAATAATTTAAATTCTTAATTAAATACCACTTTATGACCAATAAATTGGAAAAATAAATCCTAGTAGGAAATAAAATAAAAGTCTAAGGAAAAGCCTTTCATCCAAACCAAATTTCAAAATGTTTAGTACCAGCCTGCATTAGAATTCTTTTTGGAGCAGAATATTAGGCTGTTCGGAGGGTAGACAAGGTATGGAAATTTAGAAATTTGATGAGCCTCTTGGTCTGGACCTCCCTGTGCTCGTAAGAAATCATGCTAGAAAAAGGTAAAAAAAAAAAAAAAAGGCTACTAGGTGCATGTTGAATGCTTTAAGGCTGTATTAGTAAAGGCCACATCAAAAGGTCCATAAGAAGAGTTACTGTGAATGGAATTAAATAAAAAGTACAGGCAAGTATTTGGACTTTGACAGCTTGTTTGGATTGATGGAAATTGTGGTAAGTGAAGGAGGCATTAAGCCACCCCCAATGCAAATACACAGGTTTTAGTGTTCAGAATGGTGATGCATGTGAAAATAATCACCTCAACAGCCTTTAAAGACCCTACTTCGGTTGGGTGAGACTAGCAGTGGCTTAACTTTTTGGAAATACTAATTGATCTGCCTGCTGGAACAGAATATATTTGGTGTAGATAAAAATAGAAGGGGTAAGAATTGGATTGGAATCAAGTGCATCAATAAATCAGAACTAGTTTAAATTGCAGGTGATATGAGAGAAGTCTCTAAAGATGATAAATATTAGGAGTATTAGATTGTTATTCTGATGTGGGATCCATAATGTTTCTGTCATGAATTTTACTTCTAATTATTTCCTGTTAAAGTAGTTTTAAGGAAATGTGCTATATAAGTGGGTGGTTTTCTGGGAGGCATTTGTCTCATGCTATATCTATCAATTTACATATGGACTTGTTATCTTTTAAGGGCATTTGATGGCCTGCACGTTCTTCTTCCTTCATTTCTTCTTTGGTGTAGAGGAGAGGGAGTGGCTGGCTGGCATGTTTCGGTGTTGCGGATTGACTAATGACTAATCTATGTCCTGTTTTATTGTCCTTAACTTCTGTATACAATTTTACTGTTGACGAGATTTCCATCAAGCGTTCCCTGAGCATTCAAGGTGGCATGAGTTTCTACTTTTATGGCTTCAATGGCGGGTGATATGTTGTTCAGTATAGAAGTCTTTTCCTTTTCTGGAATTTTATTGTTAGTTTTTCTTTCTCGAGTTCATTAGAACTTTGTTGGTTTGTCATCTTTCATGTGTCAAATTTTGCAAATTTATACAACAATTCTCATATTTTCTGTGCTCCCTCCAGATAGCTGTTCATGGGAAAAGTTTTAACCGTTCGGCAAGGGATGCCTGGGAATTATTTCAATCAACTGGAGTTGAAGCACTTGTCGCCTATGATTGTTCAGGTGCAGTTCTATTGATGGTAACGCTTTTGGGTGGGCTCATCACAGGAACTTGCTCAGGTGTTTGGACTCATATTAAATGGGAAGATGATAGAGTGACCATGGTGGGATCCACTGCAATGTTGATGGGAATGGTCTTGGTAAGTTCTGCCTTTCATTGATGTTTCTCTTTTGGAATTGATAATCTATTTATACTCTAAAACTGCTTGTGGCATTTAATGGATGTGGAGTCGGGAGTTTTCTACCTTCTTGGTTATTTAGGAAGTTCGGTTTCAGAATCATAACGCCATTGATGTGGAACTTGCCCATCATTTGACCTCATGATCATCCAGCCATTTTTCTAGCTAGTTCACCCCTAGTTAGAGGAGTATATCACTGATTTGCATAAATATATTTATTCCAACTTTGATATTGTATGGCATTTCCATTATATTGAGTATCAATGGACAGCATGCGTCTGTCTCTATTGTTTTTTTTTTTTTTTTTTTTTTGGAAATCAAGCATGCATCTCTTTTATCAAGCAGAGGTTTTTAATCAGTTCTTGGATATTTCAGCTAGATGAGCACATACCTGGCTAAATGGGTGCCACCCCCTGAATACTTTATAGCAGTCACATGCTTTTTAAAAATCTGTTAACTTATGGATGAAAACCCCACAAAAACTAATGGAAGAACTTAATTCCAAATGAAACATAGTTAGGGAGAGGTCAAACCCGAAATTGGAAGTCAAGGGGTCAATTCTCAAATGATATAAAGTTTAGGGGAGGTGGCACCCTGCATCTAAAGTAGCATTCCATTAGCTTTCCGCTCTTTCCTTTCGTTATGCATGTTATACGAGCAGTGATTTTCCATTAACCCCAAACAGAAAATACGCCTCTACAGTTGTTGGGTTGTGTTGATTAAAGGGTGGTTTCAGTTCTATGCAAAGCTAGAAAGATGTAAATGAAAGTCAACCATTTGTCAACACAAAATTGGGTGGTCTGCAAAAACACTACTAATCAACAATGAATTGATTTTAATCTGAATCATGAACCATAACCAAGCTTTCATTCCTTAGTGACTGTCATTTATTTCATTTTGATGGTTTGCGAGTACATTTGTAGAGACATGCCATATTTTTCCGTTGGAGATTAAACAATGGACATGTTTGCTTTAGGTTGGACTGGCTATGGTGGTAGTTGAAAGTGCTGTTACATCCATATATATCTGTTACGCAGAAGATCCCTTGTTAATACATAGATGGGATGCTGAATTCTTCAACCAATTGTCCGAGGCACTACACCAGCGTCTTCAACATAGAAGTGCCCGGGCAAGGGAAGTACTGACCCACAATCGATTCAATGTTGGCATACAGGAAAATGGCTCTATCTGACAAACTTTGCCCAAACAAATTTTGTGAAATTCGTTGTACCATATTGTATTGATCCAAGTTCTTGAATCATTTTGTTTTTAGTTTAGTTTGGGACCTTTATTACATAAAAATGAAAAAGATAGGTCAAGAATCTGGTGGAAGCTACATTTATTCAGGTGTAGCCCCCCCCCCCCCCCCCCCCCCCCCCCCCACTCTTTTTATTTATTTTTGGTGTATGGAATCAAGTACAGATGAATGGCTGAAAGGCAGTTGTGTAGATTTCCCATGTGGTCAGAATGAAACGATTCTTTAGGTGGAGGAGGAATTGGATTGGTTGTCTACTAAGGGACCCTATAATTGCGATATATTCTAGTGATCTGGTTATATTTTGGAGTTAAAAACTTGGTGCATAGATTAAAAATTGCAAGCTCTTCTGTGGTCAGTTGGTAATGAAAATTGCCATTTTTTCATAGGATGGATACAAAAAGTGAGTAATTTGCATCGTCATTTCAAGAAATGGCAAGCATACCTTTATAACCCAGTAATGGTGGTTTTTTTGCCAAAAAAAAAAAAGTTATAAAGTTTAAATCCTAATAGATTAATTCTGTTATAAGCTTTGATCGGATGAGTTGAAGAAAAAAATAACATGGCAAACATGTATTCCTTTCTGTTTTGTGGGCTCTTTGGCGTCTGCTTCAATTAAAAAAACTTTATAGCAAAAGAATGAAAAAGTGGTTGCAAACAGAGAGAACAATGGTGTCTGCTTCAATTAAAAAAAAAAAAACATTATAATAAAAGAATGAAAAAGTGCTAACAAAGAGAACAATGGTGCCTGTTTCAATTAAAAAAAAAACTTTATAATAAAGAATGAAAAAGTGGTTGCAAGCAAAGAGAACAATGGTGCAAGTTTAACGGATTCGAGATGCAAAATGCAACTAAAAAACTAAACTATCAGTTTAAAATTTATTAGTTTACAAATGTATTAGCTTCACATCCACTGGCTATCGAGTTTCAAAAATGCTAAAATTTGAGATAGTGCTCTAAGGTTTTTTTTTTTTTTTTTTTTTTAAATTATTATTATTATTATTATTCTCCTTTGCTTTCATTTGAGCTTGTATTTCATAAACTTATCCTTTCTTCGCAATAATATTCCATTTTCTCCTATGCTTTCTCCATATTCCTCATTCTTTTTTATCATGTCCAATTTTCTTTGTAACTATCCATTTTTTTCTTCACTTTCACGCAGTTGTTAATATACATGTGTGTGTGTGTTTCCTTTCAATTTTCATGGATTCACAAGTGTTATAATTAATGGAACCCTCCTGGCCTATGATAGCTGAGATTTCTGTTTGGTTAGGAAAGATCCCTATAGCTAGAGTTTTACATGTACCCCGCGAATAAAGTAGCTGGCCGGCTTGCGAAAAGAGCAAAAATGCGATCTTTATCTTTGGATTGGGTTAATCACCCTCCTCCTGTCATAAAATGTCTGTTGTACTCAATGTTTCTAGTAGTGAATGAGATTCATCTTTTGATAACCCTCTCGCCTAGCTCGACCGCTGTGCTTTACAATGATTTGTTTTGTTTTTGGAATATTTATTTGATGGCTTTCCTTTTCTCTTTTACATATTTAAATGTTTATTTTCTTCAAAAACACATTTCTTGGAATCCTGAGCCTTCAACTTTGGATTCGTCCTTACTCTTAGGCACAGTAACCTTAACTTTGCTAGAACAGTGAGGGAATTTTCTCTTTTTAATAGTAAATGCACTACCACTGAAATAGGACAAAGACCCCCGCCATTATACAAGCCCATGAAAGGCTTAAAACCATATTTAAGGGGTGCATGGGGCAAATTGGCCCAGACGAAGTAAAACAAGCCCTTACAAGGAAATTCCTTCACTGTTGAAGGAAATGGAGAAATGGTTCATAAATGAGAATCATACAACGGAGTTTTAAGAGGAGGTAACATCCTCCTGGATAGGATGAACTATCGGAGGCTTCTCCAGTTCGTTAGGAGAATGAATAATCTGATGACGTGTTAGTGTCGTTTCATCTTCTCGTATGGTTGGAGACAAATGAAAAACGACTTTGGAAAAAAATAATAAAAAAAATAAAAACGAGCTGATTGGAACATGATTGGCTACATGTAAGGCGCCACCTTAAGAGTTTGCAAGAAACATCTAAGAAGGTTCCATCAGCGCCAACATGGGGTTGAACGAGTAGTCAAACGTTTCGTTATCAGAGAGCTCGGTTTGAGTATCAAGTCCTGTAATTCTTGATTATCGATAACCCTACATCCTGTAATCCTATTGGTCAAGATACTTTAAATTTTAGTTCTAATTAGATAGTCGTCCGCTGTATGCCGCGGAACGGATATAAGCATCTGAATGCAATAAGGAATATATTAAAATTAATAAAGTATAGTAAAAATAATTAAAAAATAATTTTAGTAAAATTTGATTATATTAAGAATAAGTAAATAAAATACATGAATTTTATTATTTAAAAAAATAAATAATTTATTCAAAAATTCATACATAGAGAAAAATAAACCATATTTACTATAAAATAAAATTATATAAAAAAAATGATAAGTATTTTTATAAAAAAGGACAAATTGAATAGATCAATTTTAAATAATAAAAATAATATAATCTGATAAATATATTAAAATATAAAAACCTGATGGGTTAAAAAAATATTTTTTAAAAACATAAGGGATCAAAAATATTTTATGAAAAATGAGAGATTAAAATGGAATAAAATAAAAACACAAAAGGCCAGAATATATTTTTAAAACATGACAAATCAAAAAAGTTTTTAAGAATCAAAATAAAATATAATGTAAAATTTGCATATAAATATTAAAAAAAGTCCAAAAATCGTAAAAAATATCATTATTTAAATTATAAAAAATTTCATACAGTGAATAGTGAATAATAATTTATGAGTAAATAAATAGTAATTATTTTTTATTCTTTTAGTAGTTTATATTAATAGATGTAATGAATCCTTTAACGTCCCGTTTAGAGACAAGGGTAGGAGTCTTGCCAACTGCTACACTCGGTGTTTAGTAAACTAAGAATTGAGTGTGTGGGACTTACATGAGCTCCCCACTTTAGAATGCAGGAGCTAGTATGGTTTTTAAAAACGGGAATTTTCCTTTCGGTTACGTTATGCCCGTTAGATAATATGCTTTGGAATTTTGTTATTTTAGCAATTACTACCACAGTTACATAACAATAACACCTGTTATGATTATTATTTACTAGAATAACATTATTATATTTTCTAAAAAAACAATCTTGAGATTTATTGATTTATTATTTTTTCCCCTTAAATTATCACAAATATTACATGATTTCAACATATTTTAACTTTTATAATTTGAATCTATGACAAAAAAATTTGATTGATATATTTAAATTTTTAAAAAAATGTTTATAAAAGAAAACATGTTTGATTTTTTATTTGATTAAAGTTGTAAATATTTTTGAGGTCACTCTACATATCAATATTAGAGGAAGAGAAAAAAGAAAAGAAAAGAAAAGAATAAGTAGTAATAGACCCCTCTATGACGTTTATTTTAGAAATTGAGTGATTAATTTTGCAATGTCTAATGAGAAAAGTGATATATTTATAACAATTATTTATTATTCTTAATCTATAAAATATTAATAATATGGTGAAATTCAATAAAATTGCTTTTAATTTAGAAAATGTTAATAGCATGCATTTGTGTTGAAATTCAATAAATTCAATGATATATAATTAATTTTATACATTTATAAAAATTTTATAAACACAATAACTGCAGGTTTTACTTAACATATCATAATCATTATTTTATCCACAATTACTTACAATTACAATTTTGAAACATCTACGACTACTGCAACAATCATTAATATCGCTGTGGCTACAGTCGCTGGTACAACCAACGGAAGTTTGGGTATAATTCCTCACGTATATGAAGTTTGTATGGCCTCCAATTGCCTTCCATTTTCCTAAAAAAAATAACGAAAAAGTAAGAGGGACAAGAAGGGGAAAATGGATAAATCTCCTGGTTTAAACTCTCAAACGGGTCCTTGTAAAAGAGCTCACGTGACATCATCAAGCCAAAATCGGGAAGCTAAAGACAAAAGAAGCACAAGAAACCAATCCCACGTAAACCCCAGAGATAACCAGACAGAAAGTGACACGTCATCAACCGTATTGTACGATTTGCCGTATCGGATGCTTCATAATATTTTTTGCCCCCACCCCTCCTCCCTCCCTTTTTTTTTTTTTTTTAATACAACAAACCTCCTGCTACACGGCGGTCTAAAGTAAAAGCAACCTCCTATTGCCAATATATAGCAGCTTTGCTTCTTTGCAATAGAACCCAAGTTTTTTCTTTCAAGCAAAGCATTATTTTAAATAAATATTCATTAAAACCCTTTCAAATTTGAATATTATACAAAATTTTTATATAATGCCCTTAAATTATTTGTTTCGTAAATCTTAAGGTTTGGTGGTGTGATTGTTAAGAAGTTTGTGCTCTCTCGTTAATTTCAGAATAAGAAGTAAATTTTTTTTTATCAATCTTTTAGTTGAATATAAATAATTTATTTTTTCAATTGAAATGATGAATTTAATTTTAATTTATAAAAAAACTGATTCAATGATAATTATTTTTGTAAAATCAAAAAATTATTTTCTTCGTAAAAAATCAATATACATTTATTTATTTATTTGCAAAATATTATCAAGGCACCAATTTTATTGTATCACAGTAAGTAACGAAATTATTATACTTCAACACTCAATTTGATCGATAAATTATACCTTCTATATTATTATTTGAATTCTAAAAAAAAAAAATTTTGTGATTATATCGATTTAGATTTTGGATACTCAGCTATGTTCTTACTGGAAAAGAAAAAGATAAAAAGAAACGCACGAATTAAAAATTTAACAATATAAAAGTACGAGGAATTAAAACCTACACTTTTTTTTTCCAAGTTAAAACAATAGGAAATGAAAGAATCGCTACTGTTTCTTGTCTTTCTTTTTGGGGTTCGTTTCATCACATCTCGTCACCATCGCATCAACTGTGGACCTGCAGGACACTCTTTCCCAGCAAATTTTTGATCTGTTTCTACGTGTAGAGTACCCACTCTAGAGAGAGAAAGGCATCAGGACCCTGGCTTTATAGCTCAAGGACTAAAATGCACATTAATATACTGTAGAGAGAGAAACAAACGAAAAAGGCCAGCAAATGGAAAGAGATACAGTCTAGGGAGATAAAGATTGTGGAAACAAAAACAAAGAAAGAATCGAATGAGGTAAGAGAAAGAAGGTGGTTTTTTTTTGTCTTGGGGAGTGGACTCTTTGGTCCCACGCGCCTCTACTTATCGTGCATGACAATCAACTCAAAATAAAATGCTTAACGCCTCTTTCAACAATTTTTAATTGAATGAGCCATTCAAAAATAAAATAAACTAAAATAAAGTATTGAAGCATCCTGCATATGGACATATGGTTGCATATATTATAAAGTACTTTTAGTTTCTTTTTTCTTTTTTTTATGGCCATAACTCTCATTTCCTAAGACATTTTTAATGGGTTATATATATATATATATATATATGACTATCTTTTTTGTTTTGTAAGAGAAAAGTGTTGAACCAAGCTTGTCGATAATCCCAATAAGAATAGAACCGACAATGATCAATTCTGGTTTTGAATTCTCGGGAGAAAGTAATTTGGTAAGAAAGATCGTTAGAGAATTTTCAATCTGTAGGGTGGATGATTTTGAGGATATGGCAAGTGAAATAGGCTATTTCAATTTTATTTGGTGTTGGGTGGTGTTTAAATTTGGTGGAATCGGTGATTTGGAGAATGACTTCATAGTAGATTTGGTTTTTGGATGTGTTCCATGGCTTGTAATGCCATCCGGAACTAAAATATTTTTGTACCATCAAAGTTGGGTTTCCAAAATAATATCCATCTTCAACGGTGAAAATGTGTTTGTGAAGATGGTTTAACAAAATAAATTGACTCGGACTTTTTGAAAGTGTTTAGTGCAAAAACGATCTAAGTATTTTGTGAAGAAACGAGTTGTGGAAAAACCCAAAATTTTTGTAGAAGAAATAACGAGTTATTGGAAAAGGCCTTGTGTACGGTTTTGTAGGGGAATCGGAAGATTCTCGAGAAAGGGGTTTTTAGAGGAAGAATCTTTCTCCGAATTTTGAACAACGGTTTGAGAATCCATAAGCGAGATTTTTTAAAGGATCGAAGGAGTTCGATCTGTTTTGACAAGTTTTGGACCCAAGTCTTGACGGATCGGGCTTGGACAGGAGTTTAATCCCGATTTTGTTTTTCAACGAGCATCAACCCAAGAGATGATGGGTTTTGTCGATGATATGGGTTTTGGGCTTTCTTGTTCGGAAATAAGGGGGTTTTTTTCTTTATTTTTCTTGGCCATCAAGACCTATTTTGCGAAACTCTCTAGTCAAGAAATATGGAATGTAATTTTGTTCTCCCTTAATAAATTCGATTTCAAAATAAAAAATACTAAGGATTGCTTGCCATCGGACAAAAATTTGTTTTGAAGCAATGTTTTGAACATCTTTTTGTAAAACTTTTTTAGCAGATTTACAATCAACGCGTAAAAAGAATTTTTGATTGAGTAAATCATTTTGAAATTTTTGAATGCACATGACAATGCTAAGTATTTCTTTTTTGATTGTGGAATAATTCTTTTGACAATTATTCTAGTGAGCGGATGTGAAGCCGAATAATTTTTCTTGACCAACGAGACACTTGTTTTAATATCCCACCATAACCTATATTTGAAGCATCGGTTTCAACAACCTTAGGTAAGGAAGGATCGGCTAGGTGAAGGCAAGAGATGTTTGAAACCCGGTTCTTAATCCGTTGCACTATTCAAATGTGTTCATCGGACCAAGGAATTGGTTTTTTCTTTAACCTATCATACAAAGGTTTTGCAATACGGTTAATGTTTGGACGAAATCTAAAACATAATTCGGACTTTCTAAGAATCTTTGTAGTTGTGTTTTGTCAAAAATCTTATCCGGAAATTTGTTGACAAATTCTAAAGATCTTTCTATTGGGGTAATGGTTCTTTGGGTAATATAATGACTTAAGAAACGAATCCTAGTTTGGAATAGAGAAATCTTAGATTTGAAAACTACCAATCCATTCTTTTTGGCAACATGAAAGAAAGTTTTGAGATGCTTAAAATGTTGTTCTATAGACATAGAATAAATAAGCACATCATCAATATAAACAATGTCGAAATCGGCATAAATATGAAAAATATCATTCATGATCTTCCGGAATTCGAAGGAGCATTTTTCGAGTCAAAAGGCATGACCTTCCATTCATATTGTCCAAATGGAACGAGTAAAGACAATTTTGTATCGATCGTTTAGGGTTATCTGGATTTGCCGAAACCCGACTTCATGTCAAATTTGGAGAAGACAAAAGCATGGTTTAGCCTTTGTAAAAGGTCCTTTTTATTAGGGATAGGGTATCTAATCCACTCGAGGGCCTTGTTTAAGGGTTTGTAATTGATTACCGAGTCTTGGGGTTCCTTTTTCTATCTCGGCATTTTTATCAACATAGAAAGTCTGCACAAGACCGGGGTGATCGAGATTTACGGATAAGACTCTTAGTTTCTAAATTTTGAATTTCTAACTCGCAATGTTTTTCTAGGTCGGCATCCATTTGAATGGGTCTAGCTTTGGTAGGGATTTGTTTGTCGTCAAATCCTGTTTCATAGTGTAGGTCAATGCTATGGTTTTTCCTATTCCATAAGGCATTTGGCAAATCAGAACAAATCTCTTTTTCAAGCATGTTTTGAAAATCTAAAATTTTCTTTTTAGAAATTCATTTTGTAATTGTCTTTGGATTTTTTTGTAAAGAAACATCATGTTGTAAATGCATTATATGTTGTTGTTTTCCGAGCAATCATAGCATTCAATTCAAAGCTACAAATGAAACATGCTTTGATGATGTTAAGATTCATGGTTCTAGGTTTTTCTAGAAACGAAAAAAAAAAAAAAAAAAAAAAAAAAAATATATATATATATATATATATATATATATATACACGAGAGAGAGAGAGAGAGGGGGATTGTATTTAATAATTTTTCAACATTGTTTTTTTTTCTAAAATATCTTTCTTTTTTATCATAGCATGAATTTGGAAAATGACTTGTTTATTAAAACATCATTTTTCTTCATTTATTTATAAAAAATCATTAAACATTATTGGATATTTTTTTAATTATCAACCTTAATAAGTTGGTTAATTTATTAAATTTATATGAATTTACAAGCATTTGAATTTCTACCATGTTTATACAATACAACCACATGATCATCATATAAAATTTATTATACATAGAATGTGATTGTAACCAAAACCACAATTTTAAATGATGTTCATGTAACCATAATATTGTTAAAAAAAAGACTTGGGGAAGTGAGATGAACGCACTGTCGAAAGCGATGGGTAAGGAATAGAAATGTGCGGGAGTGTTGGGAAACTAAAATCCCAAGTCAGAAGGCAATAATCAAAAGCCTGATATGTAGTTTTTTTTAATATATATATTATTAAGCTAAGAGAAAAGGAGCCGTACTGATACGCTATCCTTTTTCATTAAGATCACAACAAGATTTTCTCCATTCTCTCAGCATTTCCTTCCTCATGCTCTTCCTCTTTCTTATCTCGAACGTCAGAGTTCCCCTCTTATGATCCTTACCTAGTTACTTTAGCTTTCTTACACTCACAGCTAGCTAGACAGTCCTTTACAGAGAAAGAAACATATTGGGAGTTATAGTAAAAGTTTGCAACACATATGCAAAGCTTCAAAGCAGCAGCTGCTCCTCTTAGTACTGCTATTCCTCACCCTGAAATGTACTGCTACTCTTCCTTCCTTCTCCGGTAGTCACTTTCTTCTGCTCTCCTTTATTTCAGCTCTTGGTTTCTGTTGCTTACTAGGTTTTTAAGGAATGATTTGTGTAGTAAACTATGACCAAACATGTGTTTATTTATTCATTTGTTGTTTTGTTTTTGTTTTTGTGCCGAGTGGAAAATAACAGAGGAGGAGAAGATATTAGTAGCAGAAACCAGACGCGTTTTGCGGATCTTGGAGAGCTTCATCAACCAGCTCCTGTTTTTCCTCACGATGATGCTGTTGATTTAAGCTCAAGTATCCATTACCTTTTCTTTCTTTCTTTCTTTTGCAGTCTTGCTATATTATATAAGAATTTGTACTTTTTTTTTCCCGTCTATAGAGAACTCAGCTTCACTAACTACTAGTGATTTTTTTCTTAAAAAAAAAATATAAACTTTGTAGGCTCCATGTTCAGTCAAAAATCAGGCAATGTCACTGTTGTGTCCCATAACTTACCTTATGCTACTGCCTTGAACACGGTACAGTTCACTTCCACCATCCTCACCCACCTCTTTCTTTTGTTAAATACATGACTCGTTGGTATTTATTGGTGGATGCTGCTAATGTATTTTGTTTTTGTTTCTATAATTTGGTAAAGAATATTGGGTCAGCAGAGATAGCAACAGCTGGAGCAGGGTGTTTGGACACAGGGCAATACATGTACCAGAAGGAGACAGGGTTTGGTTCGTCTTTGGGAAACGGGCAGAGTATTGAGAATTGGGGAGACTCAGGGATGGCAGATAATAGCCAACAGACTGACAGCTCAACAGATGTCGATACTGATGATAAAAACCAGGTTTTTGTGTCTCTTTCCCTGTTAATATGCTCTGCTTTCCTTTTATTTTATGCGGTGTTTTTTATATTTAGTTTCTTAAAATGGGAATCTTTTTGCGTGAGGTTCTTAATGGTGGGTCTGCTTGGGAATTGAGGAATCAGCCACTGTGTACTTGCGTCGTATTTTGTGTTCGACTTTTGCTTGATTTTGTGATTTTGTAGAATAATTTGCTTTATTTAGGTCTTGGTGATTGTGACTTTCATTTACAGTTAGATTAACTTACATTCTGTTTAACTAACTCGTGGTCCTTGAACTTTCCAATTCTATTGAACATTTTTCTCCTGCTTTTTGAAACCCCTCACACTCCACACAACCAGGAAGCAGGCCCTTGGCCTAGTGGTAATTACAAGAAGGCATTGGGAAGTGTTGAACTTGAGACGTCATGAATATGAGATCCCAAGTTTTAACATTGAGCCACCTATTATGGTCAATTCTATTGAACATTAAAATTGTTTCCTTGCATGCTCAATTAATAATTTAGGCATGGCTAGTAAAACTAGGAATTATATCCTACCTGGCTTTTCGAGGATGTAAGCTTCAGATTGTGGTTAATTCTGTTAAAAATTAAAATGTTTTCTTGTATGCTTAATTAATAATTTGGGCATGGCTAGTCACGTTAGTTGGTAAAACTAGGAATTAAATCCTACCTAACTTTTCAACAGATATATGCTTCTGATTGTGGTCTTGTTATGATTATGTAGCTTTATGGAGTTCAGCATGGTGCAGTTGTGGTTGTGGATTCTATGGATCAATCCAAGGGAAGAACTGGTGACCAAAAGGTTTTTTTGACATGATGTTGCTTTGGTGATTATGTTGCAGTATAGTTTGATCTTCGATGGTTAGGTTTGAAGTTTTTTGTTTACTCCTTGCAGACTCTTCGAAGGCTGGCTCAGAATCGTGAAGCTGCAAGGAAGAGTCGACTTAGAAAGAAAGTAATGTCTCTGCTAGTTATGTTATATTGTTTCCTCACATTGATGATTTGGATTCTTAATCTTTTCTCTTTATCTTTCAATTGCACCCTTGAATTCCCTTACTATAGGAAATCATGGTTGAAACTCATGAGTATAGGCAGAGCACTTTCATTAGAAAGGCTGTGTTCTTTCATCCATACCGTTCTAGCTAGAAGGGCATCGTGTAAAACTTGAAGAAAAATAATAGAAGTACACCAGTTCATATTCAGTGTGAGGTGTCCCTTAATTTATATCTAGTTGTGAATGTGGTAAAAAGTTTCCATGCTTCTTTTGCCATTAACAACAGTTTACCCTGAGATTCAGGAACATCTAATGTTGTGCCTGAATTAAGTGGCATTGTCATCTTCCTGGCTTGCTATAGCAAATTCAATGTCTTAAGTTGATGAACAAAACATATTTGGATCATTTATAGGTTTTGGTTTTGGATAGGCATATGTCCAGCAGCTCGAGAATAGTCGACTCAGGCTTACACAACTAGAGCAAGAGCTTCAACGAGCACGCCAGCAGGTGCAGGAAGTTTTTCCTTATCCTCTGGTGGAATATGTTTGAAAGTGTCCTGTTTCTATTTAAGTGCTTAGACTAAATTTCTTTCATTCCGTGTTTTGCAAAATTTACTGCAGGGATTTTTAATTGCATCTGGATTTTCTGGGGATCATGGCCATTCAATAGCAGGAAATGGTAAGGGATTTTGGATATGCCATAATAGATTTAGGTCCTAGTGCTAAACACAGCTGAGTTTCTGTACCTCATATGGTTTTAAATAGATTGTGAAATGGTTTAACACATTAGTTGGTTACAAGTCAGTTAGATTTTGTTGTATGTATGGATCATTTGTACTAAATTGTTTATTCTTGAACACTTTATTGATATTCTAAATAGCTGTATTTCATGCCTATAGACATTGTTTGCATGAATCTTGTAATTTGAAGTGAGAACATGGTTTTACTTTTTCCTGATGAGTAAGTTACTTTATGGACTAAGTGACTTCGTTGCTGCAGTAAATGCTAAGCTGTGATGCCTACCTTAAAAGATGACATTAGTGCTCTAAGCATGTCATATTGTTTCTCCCTTGATTTGATTGTTGCTGGTGAAAAGCTTTAGTGATGGGGTCATACATGATCAAAGCAATATTAGTGGGTGAACAATTGTAAACTTTAATAAGAAAGTTGTGGTTAACTCTTAACCAGTTTTCAGAGAGGGCTTGATTTGTGAAGTTTAGGATTGGTGTTTACGATCTGAGTTCCGGAGTTTAAGTATCATAGAACCCTAGGTTCTCTTTAGAAGGTTTGTGGAAGACTATCTGTAGAGAACCGGTAGAAAATCGCTGGTAGGATCAACTTTTTAGAATTGAATTTTTTTTATTTGGTTTTTTTGAAATGCTTAGCAAAGAGGAATAGAAATCTAAGCAAAACACACTGTTGACCATCATTTTGAACAATAGAATGGCCTCCCTTTATGTTTTTATACCGTATGCATTCATTGTGTGTTCTATACATTTTTGGTCAATGTCCTACACATTTGGCAATCTTTATTGCTATTCAGTGAAGTATTTGCTTGAGAACACAGGTCATTTTGTGGATATCCTGATTACATTGATTCCCTTTTTTTTTTTTTTGGACTACCAAATAGAACTTTGGGAAAAGCTTTCATAATCTAAAAGTTAATATCCTGATGGTTTTGGTTCTTGTGATTCATTACACTTTCAGAGGCCTTTGCGTTTGACTTGGACTATTCACGCTGGCTGGATGAACATCATCGGCTGATCAATGATTTAAGATCAGCCATGAATTCTCATATGAGTGATGATGAGTTACGGCTTCTCGTTGATGGTGTAATAGCACACTACGATGAAATATTCCGACTGAAGAGCATTGGTGCAAAAGCTGATGTATTTCATATGCTTTCGGGCATGTGGAAGACACCTGCAGAAAGATGCTTCATGTGGTTAGGTGGATTTCGTTCTTCTGAACTTCTCAAGGTAGTGACCATTGATTGTTTTGGTCATACAGCGTTATTTCCTCTTCTAAAAAGTTGTCTGAATGATTTAAGTTAATGCCGTTTTCTTTATAATTGCAATGTAGATTCTTGGGAACCATCTTGAACCGTTGACAGATCAACAGTTGATGGGCATATGCAATCTGCAGCAGTCATCCCAACAGGCTGAAGATGCCTTGTCTCAAGGGATGGAAGCTTTGCAGCAATCGCTTGTAGACACACTGTCATCCACCTCTCTAGGCCCTGCTGGTTCTGGAAATGTTGCTGACTACATGGGCCAAATGGCAATTGCCATGGGGAAGCTTGCAATGATAGAGAACTTCCTTCACCAAGTAATATCACATCTAGTCTAACTATGAATGCTTGTTCTTTCCTTAAAAATGGTTGGTGGAAATTTGACTTGGGTGGTTGTAACCTCTTTCTCTTGTTAGGCTGACCTATTAAGGCAACAAACTTTGCAACAAATGCATCGAATTTTGACGACTCGTCAGGCTGCTCGTGCCCTTCTTGTTATCAGTGACTACACTTCACGTCTCCGGGCACTGAGCTCTTTATGGTTAGCACGCCCCAGAGACTGACAAATATCTTTTTCTCATGCTTTTCTCGGATGTTAGTTATAATGGTGGCTGTGGGTCGCTTCCAATAGGTACCAATTGGAAATGTTGGGACTGCAGGTTGAGGAAGCGTCCTGGAAATTGTGCCAAGACAGTATGATTTCTGTTTTTTCCCGATTTTCAAAGGTTTTGCGTCATATAGAGTATCGGTATTGAGAAGAACATACAATACTACAGGTTGGGTGGTTGCTGCTTAAATTTATCGGGCATGTATAATTAATCATGCCTGCTAGCCGTGCATGGACAAAATTGTCACCTAATGTTGCGACAATAGTTTTATCAAGTAGCTAGTAATCTAATGACATTACGTTGTATGATCGGCACCTAGAAATCCATCTTTTGGTCATGCCTCCGGAGCTGGGGTAGCGTTAGGAATTCATATGGCATCATTGTTAAAAGACTTATCAATTTGCATATATGTTGTCAAAGCACATCTCTTATTGTTAGTATCGTTACAGCTGTTGATTCTTGGCAGACATTAAAGAGCACCCTAAATCTCCTAATCAAAATACGATGATTGGGAAGAATCAAATTTAGCTATCTGCAGTACTCCACTGGCTTGTGTGATCGTCTCCTTCTGTTCATTCTTCCTGCAATCCACATACAATCATTAGTTAAGAAAATTGATCATTTTAAAAACAGGTTCACCGTTCACCTATTAGAGCATCATTCGTAGCACATACCATGCCTATATCTTCTAGGTTTCACAATTTGAGGGATGAACACCCCAGTTCCATTGCCATTAGATCTCCATAAGTTCTCAAGCCAAGTTGGTACCGAATCAGTTTTCTGCCTCTCCCACCAGTCGAAATAGCTTCCCGGCTGTAATGTTGTAGGAAAAGTACTGCTGCTTAAGCTGTTTGAGTCTTGTTTCTTTTGAATATCAACCAATCTCGAATGGTTTGTAACAGCAAATTCTTCGTCATCGTCGGCTGTCAAAAGCAAAATCTGCTTCCTAAGCTCTGCATAGTAAATATCACTGTCCTCGACACCTTCGAATTCAAGATTAGTGTCTGTTCTCATTTGCCCTTCTGCTTGAGTTTGACTAGTATAATGAAACTCCATTGGGAAGCTCGAGTTGAATATTTGGGATGGTCTGATGAAAAAAACCCAGTGAGATCTATATAAAGGAATCAATGGAAATAAGTTCTTAGATTGAGGTCAAAGGTAAAAGGTCCACGTTTCCTGAATTGGTGAAATGCTTCCAAATGGACTCAAGTGGTCCAGGTACAGAATCTCTCAAGTTTTTGTACCCTATCTAATGTTTTGTTTCAGTCGTTCTTGATTAATAATTAAATTTCCAACGTTTTAAACCCGTGTGAATGAGACTACCGTAGGATGGGTCCAAGGAATGTGAATGTTGGAGCCTAAGACGGATAATGAGTTGGATTCACACGGCTTGTTTTTCCGGCTATGTAAACTCAATCACAGAATCAAAAGGATTGGCTCTTTTTTTTGGGTAGCAAAGCAAAAGGCTCGTTGACCATCCGCAACTAGTAATAATTTATTAGTCAGATGTTTATACCATGATTCGTAGACGTGTGGCATTATTTGGAAGGTCAGAATTGCAGTCCAGCAATTAACTACCATCTTTTGTCGACCTTTGCCCTGTTGTCATCCTATTTTTTTCTTAAAAAATAAAAATAAAAATACTGCTAAAGTTATCTAACTAAATTTTCATTTTCACTTTTTTTTTTAAAAAAATTATCAATATATTTTCTACTGATATATGTTATATGATATTTATTGATAATTAATAAAAAATATATTGATAATTATATAAAAAAGATAATAGTAACGATAATTTGATCTATAAATTTAACAATATCTATTGACACAGACTAAACATAAAAAAAATAAAAAATCCTTAAAGTTGTCTTTAATTACATCATATACCATCGAGCGTATTTGAGTGATATTCGTGTTAAAATTTTGTTACGTATATAATAGCATAACTCATTTTCTTATGCGACTGCAAGGATTAGCATTTTACAATCTATTTTCACCATCTCTGCTTTAGGTGGTTTGCAAATATGGATGCTCCGATTTTAATGATTCGATTATTTGTAAATAAAATTTTTTTTAGTATTTTAGCATATCAAATAGTTTTATTGTTCTTATCTTTCTAAATAAGTATGGGATTTTCCTAATATTGGTAGCCTCCCTCCCATCCTTCTTGAACTTTTAATTTCTCTTCTTTAAGTTTTTAACTAAACATATAGCTATTTCAGCTTGCTTGTTTGGAGTATTCAAAGAGTAATATAATAATTATTAAATTAATTTATTTTAAGAAAAAAAAGACACAAAAATACTACACTAGTATTAGATATATTTTTTATGTAAAAAATTACAATCACAGTATATTTGGTAAAAGAAATACGGAAAGAGGTAAACAAATAATACAAACATAGAGTTCAAGCTACATAGCAAACTAATTTACATGCTTAATAATAAAAAACATAAACAAACGTACGTAGAGGAGGCATCACCATGAATGTGCCAAAAGGAATACAACAGTGCAGACCCAAAATACATCTTATTGCCACAAATTTTTTTGTATCACTGGAGTATTAATGTTTTCTGTCACATACAAATAATAAGGTTCATGAATAATAAATTTCCTCCAGGTATAGCATTATTAGGTTGCAATATTAACGATCCATGCCTGACGCAACAAATGGGGGACTAAGTCCCTCCCGGCTCCACTTCTCAACATTGGCCTGCCAACCTTGAAAGTTGAAACTAATCACCATCAACAACTATTATAGTTCATTATAATGATAACGCCATATATTTTGTTCATTTACAAGAAACACATTTTGGCAAAATAACTCAACCCTTTTTCATATTTTGCGGATTGTTTCCATCGTTGTCTCGATATTTTTAACTGTATTTGCTATTTTTTAATTTTCAGCTAGATCTCAATGAGTTCTAATTCATTTATTATGTGAATCCAAGTTAATCAAACATTTGAAAATGCAAGTTAATCACACAATTGACTCATAACTTTTAAATTTTTTATCCATTAAAAACACACGATGAGCACATGTTTTTAGAATTAAAGTGTTGTTTGGATTAAACATACATATTTTTTTTGTTAATTAAATACATATTTTTTTGTTTGGAATAAATGATATGTTCGTGTTACGTTTGTGAGGTATGTTTTAAAAACATAAATTTGTAACTCCTGGGCATTTTTCCATGCATAATTTCTATTAATTTGGATGATATGCCACGATAGAATAACTTATAATTGGGAATTGAACTATTAATATGATTGGTTTGTTAATTTCTATTAATTTGGATGATATGCCACGATTGAATAACTTACAATTGGGAATTTTGATTGGTTTGTTAAATCAACATTAACAATGTACGAAAGTAGATAGGTTCTGTCAAAAGAGGAAAAAAGACAGGTACCTAAAGAGGGATCAGCCCCATGATTCTTGAGTTCTCTATACTCTTGACATAGAGAACACACACAGCAACAACAATGGACCAACCAATCCGCACAGGGAGTTTCTGGTAACGAAAGGAGACCTCGCAGTTTGGACCGATAAATACCACCGTATAGCCACCCGCAACCAATATGGCTCATTGCATAGTAGATGAGGCCTTGAATTCCACATGCTGCTCGTTCAAAACAGAAGTATTGTAAGCATACTTGTTGTTCTACATAAGACTTAGTGTGTCTTGTAAGCATACTTGTTGTTCTACATAAGACCTAGTGTGGAATTGTTAGATTTTGATGCTAGCTAGTGATAATGTTTAACGTAATTTTCCCAAAAAAAGACAGTTCTCCTCAATTTGTTCTGCGAACAAGAGTATTCTGAGTCAAAATAAATAAATAATTCATAAACCATGCATATAATTAAATGGACAAAAATTGAATAAGCCAGTAGAACTCACATGTATTTCCTCTATCAAGGATCTCGGCTATGCGTCCAAAGGTGATGCATGGACAGAAACAGGTGAGCAAACCTTCGGCAAGAAAGCAACAAACTCATGTGGTTAAAACCAGCTAGAAATATGTAACAAGCACACATTGTAATCAGAATACATTTCATGAGACAAGTGTTAATATATAATGTGGCAGCAATCTAATTACAATTAGAAGGGTCATCAAAACAATTGCATATTCCGGTGGACCATTGCCCTTCTGGAAATTGTGAAGGTGGTGGAGCAACTTTAGGGTATTCGGTCCCTTCCTTGCTTGAAGACATTGCCCTTGCTTGTTAGAACCAATACTAATATAGTAGAATTGATGATTGTGGAAGGTTATGGAGGTATAGCTTCACACTTATAGGCATGTAATCTGGCTCCGAGTCTGACATTTTGGGAAGTCGATTTTTGTATGGAAATTTCGGTACATAATTAATTAACTTCAAGTGGTGGACTAAATGTTATTTTTTTTATCTTATTCAATCTTTTTGATAAATGTAATCTCATAAATGGTTGAACTGTCCATTTCATAATTTTGTCACCCCCAAATGGATGGTTTCCTGGTTCCTTCTTTCCTCTGGGTCTTCGGCCTTGTGAGTGTTTCAGTTCCATTAGAAATTAAAAGATGGCAAGTGTATAAAGTATAATACATAGGAATATTAACAATTTATAAAGGAGGAAAATTACATTTATCTATATATAACCTATTAAAAAAAACAAACAGTATATGAAACCCTTGGATGATTCACAAATTCAAATTCTGACCTCAATATATTAATCAAGGCTAGTGTGAGACGCAATTAGCCGACAGATGGCAATTTCATTATAGAACTAAAGAAATGAGAACGAAATGTCGTTACATACCGGGATACGTTTTCTACTAAAATATATCATACGGTCAATGACAAAGATTATGATACAACCACAGCAAAATGTTTGTTCTTTATCAATTATCTCTCTGAAGTTCAATCGTTTATTAATAAAGTCTTTCGGTCCATTTTTGTTAGCAAAATTAACGGAATATACCTTCTTCTTCTTCTTTTTTTTTTTTTTTCAAACTTCAATTTCTTCCTCCAAAAATATAGATAATTTATCATTTAACTTTCTAAAAGAATTTCTCAACACACACACACACATCCTTTTGGCCTATTCTTAGGCCGTGACTCACCCTGTGGACAAACCTTGCGGAGAAACCTTACGTTTTTGGAGTATTGGATTCTGGCCGATGTTTGCATTACGCAAGCCGACATTCTCGTTTCGCTTTGTCCACCTCTGCTCGCACAGGTGCTTCCCTCTAAGGCAGAATGCTCTCCTATCGATGCATTTTTACATCTCACAGCTTCGACAGATCTTTTAGCCTCGTTCCACTTCGACGCAAGAGCGCTGGATTGGTAAGCTACTATGCACTCTTTTAAGGGTGGTTGGTTCTAGGCAAACCTCTTGATTTTCTCTCCAACCCTACCTCCTTTATCATATAGTGGTCATTTCGAGACCTTAGCTGGTGATTTATATATGGACAGTAACAAGTAGGCATTAATCAAAGTAGGAAGTAATATTATAAACTAAAAGATTTTTAGGTTGGTAAATTAGTCACTTGTTTCTCACTTTGTAATCAAATTCATATATGGACTCCTTAAGTATTGAATTTTTGCGTGAGCATCATGTTTGAAAGAAGGATTTCTGTTTGTAAGAAATATATTTCACCAATGAATTTAAGTTTTTATTTTCAGTCTTATATGTTATTAAAGTTTGATTATTTTCATAACCTGCCTTATCATCATCCCATTTTGCTTCTTTAAAAAAATTAAAAAGGGAACATGGGCTTGGAACAACCTAAGCATGCGTTGGGTTACGTGCCATGCTTGCACCAAAACAAAAAAGCAAAAAAAAAAAAAAAAACGAAGAAAATCCAACAAATGAGAAGGAAAGAAGAAAAAAAAAAAAGCCTAAGCCAACACTAAGTGCACCAATATAAATATAGGGTTAAAAGTCCAGAATGTTCTTCTACTATTTTATTTATCTTAATCGTATTCTTTTACTAATTTTTTAAATAATTGTGTTCCTCTACTATTAATTTGCATCTTAATTTCATCTCTTCGGTCAACTTTTCTAATAACTACGTCAATTTTCGACGATAAACTCACAAGATGTCGACACGTGGCATTTAAAAAAAAATCTTAAAAAATAAAAAAATCCAAAATGCCCTTCTTTTTCTTTGCATTTATGTGCATAAAATAAATAATTAATTTCATCTCTCAATTTTTTTTCTTTCTCTCAAATTCAAACCAAAAACGAAAATTTTTTATGTATAGGAAAGAACAAAAACAAATTTTTTTATTATTTTAGAAATTTATTATGAAAATTTATTTCAAATCTAAACGTAAAAAAATTTATGAATTTTTTTCATAACATAAGAACAAAAGAAAAAAGCGAGAGAAAAAGAGGGGAATTTTAGGATTTTTTTTTAATTTTTTTTTTCAGAATTTGAGAGAAAGCAAAAATAAATAAATAAATAAAAATAAAAAATTGATAGATAAAATTATTTATTTATTTCTATACATAAAGGTAGAGAAAAAGAGGGGCATTTGGAATTTTTTTTATTTTTTTCATATTTTTTAGGATTTTTAATTTTTTTTTCAGATTTTTTTTAATGTCACGTGTCAACATCTCGTGAATATGTTGTCGAAAATTGATGTAGTTACATAAAATTTGACCGGATGGACAAAATTAAGATGCAACTTAAGAGTAAAAGGACATGATTATTGAAAAAAATAAAAAAAAAACACGATTAAGATAAATAAAATAATAAAGGAACATCGTGTACCTTTAATCCAATAAATATGCACCCTACCCTCACGCACAAACACCGACGCCTAGATAGAAAAATCATATCATCCAAAAAAAAAAAAAAAACAAAGAATGAGATCTCCTACTGCTATGCATGAGCATAGCACTTATAAGTCTAATTGTATCTAATCAATGCTCATTCTTGACAATTCTACGACTTGTGATATTTAATGATATCATTTATGTGTATTAGTGTTTGTCTCATATCTTTTAATCAATCACTATTGAAAATACATATCATAAGGACTTATATCTAATTTTACTGAATTAATGAACATAAAACATAAGAATTAATAGAAAGACTTCTTTATTATTAAAACAATAAATAATGCAATAATACAATAACTCAAATCTATCCAAACATGATTAGATCTTGGTCACTAACACTAACAGAATTTACAACTATGCGAGTGGACCTTGTAAAGACTATAATGCATGACCTAACAATACCTTGGAAGGGTTGAATATTTAAAAGGTTTACAAACATATTAATAAGATTCAGGGAGTACGGATCTAAAGCATTAGATCTCAAAAATGTTTTTAGGTTAGATGGTGAAGAAAGTCATCCTCTGTAAGTGAAAACAAAAATGAAATAAAAAATAGAGAGACAAGGGAAACTTTAAAGAAGAAAAAGAATTTATGGTAAAGATAAAAGGTGGGCAATGATAGCATATATCTTAACTAGTTTATTTATATAGATTTGCAATGGATAAGTCTACAGAGGGCGAAAAGATGTGGTAAGAATGAATAAATTTAAAAATCCTTATTACACATTGGAAATTGGAAAATAAATTTTCAAATACCAAAGTTATTTATTTCCACACATGAGAAGGGGATTCACATATAGAAAGAAGCATGACAGATGCTATACCTAAAATTCATCATAGTCTAACAAGTTGTGCCATATATGAAAAATCTATGTGTTTGAATGAGAAAGCTATAGGGCAGGAATCTTTAAATTAGAAAACTAGTTAGGAAAATGTTGTTATCTTTAGGTGATAGGATAAACCATAGAAATTGATCCTCCTAATAGTAAAAAAGAGAGTAGGTATTAATGGTGTGTGAAAGTGGGAGGAACGAACAACATGGAGCATTGCAAGATGACATAAGAAGTTGTTGAGGAACATGGAGCATTATAAGATATCATGGAAGGACTAAAGGGCTATAAATACAAGATGTAGTAAAAGGAGAAGAACATGTCAATACATCAACACAACATAATCGAATTTGCAAACAAAAAATAGCTCTCAAAGCACTTTATCAAATTTCAACACACTTGAAATTTTTTAGACTATAGCTTGTAAGTAGTAGCAAGTAGGTAGTAATAAAAGTAGACAATAATATTGTAGACTAATAGATTTATAGGTTGGTGGTAACTTTGTTCTCACTTTTTAATCAAATTCATATCTTTACTCAAGAATTGAATTTCTACGTGAAAATCATGTATAGAGGAATGATCTCTGTTTGTAAGGAACCTTTTTCATCAATGAAAGTAAGTTTTCTTTTTTAATCTTAAGTGTTATTAAAATTTATAATCTTACTTTCGTTACTTGTCCGATGCTTAATTTTGGTGTTAATAGTGTAAAAATAGACTTTAATTATAATAAGGCTTGAAAAATATAAATTGGTAGGTTAAAGTGACCTTCATTGTGAATAATTAGCCTTACAATTAGCATCTCAACTCGTCTGGGCATATTGCAGACTTTAGTTGGGATTTGCAAACTGGTTTAAAATTTGTTTAACTTGGAATATCATGAGAGAGAGAAAAAATCATCATTAGTATAAATAGTAGACCATATTTAACAACAAATTACATTTGAATTATATTTAAAATACATAGTCTGGTAGTTAGATTGACTTACATACTATTATCCAACCAATCATTTTTGCTCTTTTGTTACAAAATCATTGAGAATTAGGACGAGACACAAAAGAACCTCAACAGAAATTAAATTAAACAAATTAAACATCAATTTACAAACTCCAACTAGATTCTGAAATCTGTCTAGGCAAGTTAAGATGCAAGTTGTAAGGCTAGTTATTCACAAGAGTGATAACTCTAAGTTTATAATCTATAATTTCCAAGTGTTATTGCAATCAAATTTTATCTTTATTCTACCAATTATGAAATCAAGCAACATGTAAGAAATGAAAGCAAGATTGCAAACCTAATAACACACAAGACTAAAAAGAGAACTTGTCCTTCATTGATGAAAAAAGATTAGCTTACAAACTGAGACTCTTCCTTTATACATGATGTTTATGCAGGATTAGAATACTTGAGGAGTATAGACACTGGTTTGATTACAAAATGAGAACCAAGTGATCGTACTACCTGCTTTTAATATTATTGCCTACAAATTATAACCTATAAGTTATAACCTAACAAATTTCAAATGTGTTGAAATTTGATAAAGTACTTTAAGAGATGTTTGTAGTTTGTAAATTTAGTTATTGTTGTGCTGATGTTTTGTTCGTCTATGCTGCAGCTTATATTTATAACTAACTACTTTGGTCTTTTAGTCTTTTTATGACCTTGTAATGCTCCATGTTCTTTACAACTAACTACTTTGTTTTTTTGTTGTTAGAAAAAATAACCAAATATTTATTTACTTTCTCTTTTTAGTTGTTAGAAAGTTTAATCACGCAACCAATCATTTATAACTGAAATATTGATTTCAATAATTCACAATTAACAAGTCTATTCTCCAAATAAATAACCTCTTAAATTAATTAACTAATAGACTTTACATGCAAAGTTCAATTATTGAGCCATTTTGTATCTAACCAAATTTTGGGTATAACACACTCATTCGAGCTTTAATGTGGATTAATTTGGTCTCCTCACTAGTCACTGTATTTAAATAATATTTTTGAGCGTTCATATAATTACATATAAAACTTTTTTAAAAATACATATACATTAAGAACAAAAATACATATGTATTAAAGTTAAAACCTAATTCCAATTTAAAGTTTGTATGAAAATTTCTCAATGCTAGTGAAAATTCTTGTGATAGTTTTTTTAAGAGACTTTTGATAAATTTATATATAAAAAAAAAAGCGAAAAAAAAAAAAAAAAAAAACAAAAACAAAACAAAACGGTTGCTGGCAGTTAGTTTTTAAAGGGACCTGTTACTTGACAATTTTTTTTATTTAAAATCCACAGTATGCCACACCCTTCCCCCTTTCCCACCCGAATCAACAAAATGTATCCTTCAATTTCCAATGAGTTCCAAAAGGAGTCATCACAGGCAATATCATCTGCACCACCGCAGCCACTATTTTCCAACTTTGAAGACCCCGTGGCTACTGGAATCCCAGTCCCTTTCGCGAATCAAAATAGTTCTGATCCAAGTCCTCCTCTCCCGCCCAACAATGCCAACAATGTCTCTTTCTCCAGGCCCTTGGTCCACTGGTCTCTGTGACTGTTTTAGCGATCTTAATAGTTGTAAGTATTTTCCACATATACAGTCATTATGGATGGACCATGTTACCATTTTTTAGTGTCACCAAAAGTTTATTTTCTTGGCACTCGGTTGGTGTTGGTAATTAAATTAATAATATTTATAAGTAATTAAGAAGGTTTTTGTGTTTGATGGTATTATGACAAATATTACTTCTTCTTCTTTTTTGAAGGAATTGTTCTTCAAATATTATTTGATCATGATTTCTTCTGATTTCCGTTCTCTCATTATTGTTGCGTTATTATATTCTGGATCTGTGTAAAGAAGAACTATGAAATTTAATAACGGACTATATATATCTATACGTATATTGTCCTGCAGGCTGCTTAACATGCTGGTGTCCATGTGTTGCATTTGGACGAATTGCAGAAATTGTTGACAGAGGATCAACTGGTAAGTTTTGAAAAATTGGTTTTTTCAAGAAGTAATTGCTTCTTAACTTATTAATTAAGGTGAAATTTGCAGCATGTGGAATGAGTGGGACACTTTATACATTGATCCTGTGTTTGACGGGGTGCTCATGTTTGTACTCATGCTTTTATCGATCAAAGTTGAGAGGGCAGTTTTTCTTGGAAGAAAGTCCATGCACAGATTGTTGTGTCCATTGTTTCTGTGAGGAATGTGCATTGTGTCAAGAGTATAGAGAGCTCAGTAACCGTGGCTTTGACTTGTCTATTGGTAATCGCTCTCTCTCTTTTGTCTCTTCCCTTTTTGGGACAAATAGTGTTGTTTTGTTTTTCCTTGTAGTTTTTTCTGGCTAACTACTTCTGTTTTTGATGGAACAGGATGGCATGGGAACATGGAAAGGCAGAAAAGATTAGCTGCTACTGCTGCTCCAACTGAAGAAAGGATGACCAGATAGACTCGTATATTTAACTGTATCATGGATCCATGTTTTGTCAGTTTTTGAAATGTTAGTTAAACTAAGGGAAATTAATGCTCCAAATTATTTAATTTTGCTCTCCCAATGAATAAACTTAAGATTTATTATTGTTCATATTGGGCACTTTGTATCATTATAGAATAATTTGGGCGCATACATGCCATTTTGGAGAATGTATTATAGAACTAATTTTTTCATTTGACACAAAAAAAATTGATGGAATTATGCAACTCAAACTTGACTTTGTCATGTGGTTGATCCGCAAACGGGTAAGAAAGCCCAGCACCAACCTGCATTTAATGCTCAAGTTTTACCTGTAAGTCTGTAATTTCTAAGAGAAAGATATATATGCGAATATGATTACGATATTTGGGCTGTGTTCCAAAACAAAAATGGTTCATGTATTCGCTCTCGCTTATAAAATCATTCCGAATCAGAAATGCATGACTTCTTAGTTGGCGTTTAGTCATCAATGCAAACTGAACTATGCGTAAGTTAGTTCATCAAACCTCAATCTTCCTTTGTTTCGTAAAGGGAACCGGCTGCGTATTGTCAATCGTTTTGGGTTCCCATGATTAATTACTCTATAAACAAGTTGAGACACCCTTAGGATCGAATATGCACCCAGATAAATAAAAAATCACAGTAGCAGAAAGAATAGTTTCATACAAATATAGTGTTTAACAATGTTCAGCTATACTTAAAATCCATGAACAGAGAGTAAGAAATTCACTAGAATCAAAATAAATACGGTTATGGAAAACTCCTGATTCTAATTTCAATTGTTTCCCTTCTGTGGCGCAAAATGTCAATTCTCTGGCCCCCACACACACACACACACGTATGTGTGTGTGTGTATATATATATATATATATATTGAGAATTTGGCCCACACGTATTTATTTGATCCTGTACTATATACGTCTTGCCCGGAATTAATGGCTCTCGGCCTAGATATTGATTATTGATTACTTACTTAAAAAATAATTATTTTATTTTACTATTTGCTCTTAATTAAAAATTAAGTCTTTATTTTTTTCATTCAACTATATTTTATGGATAAAAAAAAATCAGATAAAATATCATAATAAATATTTTTTTAATTTATTTGAAAATCAAATATAACTCTTATTCTTTAATGATGAATACAATTTTTTTTATTTGGCTTGAAAATTGATCGGAATGACATGTTAAATATATCAAACACTTTAATTCAAGTATAAATGGGATGCAATTAGAAACTTAGGCACATGAGAGCTTTTGAATATTATACGAGGACAAATAAGGTATATTTATCCAAAAAATTATTAGTTAAAAGGGTCCAACCACTCTAAAACTTTTAGTTATTTGAGGCTAAGTCTCTGAACTTTTTTATTAGTTTTGGAAATCCCTAAATCTTTAATTTTTTCAGATTTAATCAATTCTTCAATTTTCTGTTATTTATCTCAAAAAAATGACTATAACATAAATAATTTTACAATGAAAATCGAGTCAATGAGATTTATGTAAGACTCTTAAAAAAAAATTGAGACTATCTTGAAGTTATTTTCTACATTTTTAATATTCAAAAAATAAAAAAATATTTTTTAATTTTGAAAAATTCTGGAATTGTTCTACAAAATGAATTGAATTTTTTAACATGTGTTGCAAAATTTCAATTTAAAATATGAAAAAATGAATTTTTTAAAAAGAAAGATGATAATTGAAAATCATTGAATGAATTAAATCTCAAAAAATTTAAAATTCAAAAATCTTCGAAACTAATAAAAAAATTCAGAAACTCAACCTAAAATTATTTAAAATTTAGAATTATTTAGATCCTTTTAGGCAAAATTATTCTGTTATTCCATCCATTTGCCATGTGCAATGGCATCTGAAAGTTCCATCTTTATCCTGCTTTCAAATCTGCAGTGGAATACTAAAGAGGTGGACTGGTCAACAAAGAATGAACACGCGCCAATTAATTTATGAGATCGAATAAAAGGATATATGGCTTTCCAAATTGCAGGACTTGCAAGATTAGCTTGCCTAGCAGCATCCATACACTTCTTTAGCTTCGTTTTTATCTTTCAGTTTCTATTCTTTATATGACAACAGGAGAACATTCTTTCGCAAGGAGAGATTCAATTCAAGGACCCTTTCCCTTGTATCACGAATATTCACTTCACTTTGCAGTAAATTTCAATTACTTTGGAGAATTTATCAAAATTTTGTTAAATACATGAAATTAATATAAAAAATACATTTTTAAAATTGTTCGGTTTAGTTTCGATTCACAAACAAAGTGACCGAAAATAATTTTACTTTTGGTTCAAAAACACTATTAATGACTGAAAAAATCAAAAAGATGTTTGCATCATTGAATGTGTATTTTACGCGTAGAAAGCAAAGGAGACTATACTAAATAATTCTCATATCCTGATGTGATTGTTTTTAAATTGTTTCTCAAAATTGTAAGATTTCAACTAAAGAGTTCAAAATGATTTATTGTGGTGATGAAATGACCACAAAAATTGAAAAATATCAAAACTCTGGATTAATAATGTAACCAGTAGGGTTGCTCAGGATTTTGCCTTGTGTTACTTTTAGAATTTTATAAATCACAAAACAAAAAGCAGTACGATCGATTTGAAAGTAGGGACGAAACCACAATCAATCTGAATATTCATATCAAAAACGTAGGGACTACATTGAAAACAATTTAGAAAGATTAGGGACTAAAAAGAAGTATTGCATCCTCTGCCAGTGGTTACAAAATACGGACAGCTTCAAACGCTTAATTTAAAGTTTAAACCAAAATATTGAAAATTACACTGATATAAACATCCATTAAAAATCATATTAAATAAATTGGTAACATGAGAGAAACCCACAAGAAAGTGAAGAAAAAATAGATTCAAAAATGGGTCTATAATTTCAAACCTTTATCTCTCTTCAATTTCTTCTTCAGTGAAAATGAATTTTGATATTCATTTCAACAAAAAAATAAAAAATAAATTCAGCAAATGAAAAGGAGTTTTTGTGAAATTTAGAGAGAAGGGAGAGAAAAGGAAAGAGAGGGGATAAAGCATGACAACATAATAGTTTTTTTTTTTTTTTTAAAAAAAAGATTTTTGACGAAGCATAGAAAAGGAGATAATTATATTTTTTATTTAAGAATTTTTTGATGTTTTCAAGTTTTGTTTTTTTTTTTATTTGGATATGTAAATTTTCAAAATTTTTTTTATAATTAAAAGTTTCCCTTGAACTCTGTTAATTCATTGCTGACACATCTGTTAAATGTACACATGGTACCATTTTGTGAACCTATTTCGTCCAACACGTCAGCATTGAAATAAATTAAGTAAATTTTTTTTTGACATTTGTTTGAAAATCTAAAAACTTAAATGAGATTATCAGTTTGAGATGGAAGGAAAATAACTTGTTATCCTATGCCTCTTCAATTTATACATCTTCTACAAATTTGCATTGCTACACACTCTTACTCTTCTTCACCGTCGCCGCCACCAGTCCTTCCCATCTCTCCCTCTTGATTTCCCTCAACTCAACTGTGTAAATTTCTCAATGTATAAATCCAGTAGGCATCCGATTGCTCCATAACTCTTCTCTTTTCGATCCTTCATTTACTCTTCTCCATCGAATCTTCCTCTTTTGTACTTGTTGGACGGAGTCCCTCCTCCATCGATTTCACCTTCGCAGTTACTTATCTTTGACATGTACAAAAGCTGAATTCGTCTCGTTATCATGCTCTGTCTTCTTATTCACCGTCTAGATGGAGGATTGATTTAGGTGGCGTGTGGATCGGAGTTGATTTAGGTGGGAAGCGATAGGGGTGGTGGAGGATATGATGGTGGTGATTATCATCGACGAGGAGAGAGAAATCGCAATCAATTAATTTCATTTTCGTTTTTTGTTGTTGTATGTTCGGTTTTAATTTATTTTTTTGGTAAATAAATATCTTTTTTTTAAAGGACAAAATATTTTTTTCTTAATTTATTTCTGGTGCTGACATGTCAGGAAAAATAATTTCAGAAAACAATGTTATTTGTACATTTAACAATATGTCAGAAATAATTCGATTAGAAAATTTTTAAATTTATTCACTCAAAATTTTTTATATAAAAAATATAATTAACTCATAAAAAACACAAATTATTAATATTAGTACATCAAAAATATAATTAACTCAAAAGAAAAAAATACCAATAAAAATATAATTAACGTTAAAAAAAAATACAAAAGACACACTAAAAATATAGTTTACTCGAAAGAAAAGATATAACACCGAAAATAATCAACTCAGAACAAAGACACAAATCATTAATTTAGAAAATCGAAAAAATCTCATCTAATAAATATAATTAATTCAAAAAAATCCAAATGATTACTCTAGCAAATAAAAAAATTCGCAAAAAAAACACAAATCATGTATCTTCACGTATCAAAAATATAATTAACTCAAAAGAGAAAAGACACAACACCAAAAATATAATTACTCAAAAAAAAAAAAAAAAAAAACGACACAAATCATCAACCTTCACACAGACGCAAATCATTAAACTTCCTCACGCAAGACACCAAAGGAACAGGCATAGCCGTTGACTACGAGTCATTTTTAAAATACATATATATTGCCCTTAAAAATCCACCATACCTATGCGTGCTAAGTTTCGGTCCAAGAACCAATGTAGTATGCATTGAATGTGAGTGTCTAAAACACTCGACAGACCAAAGCCTTTGACCAAATAGCTCCGGTTCTGGGCCCTGAAAGGTAAGTTGCGAAGAATGAAGCGCATGTTCCATGGCAGTCCTAAAAACAGGGAAGGGCTTCTACTAAAAAGTTGGTTACAAAAGCAACTTTAGTCGACGTACCCGATCCAAGGCCACACATGACACATACTCTTTCTTTTAGTGGGAGAAAATCCGAGAATGCTCCACTTTAACTTGCGTGAGAAATTTGTCACAAACAGTTCTTTTGAAAAGATGTTATTGGGTGGCAGCCAAAAGTTGGGTTGATGGGTTCAAATTCAAGACACCACTACATCCAATGTGCTTCTGTTTCTCAAAATGTCATCAATGCCATGCCACACGAGAGAATAATTCTTAGTGCCACCTAGCTTGTGAAAATGTTCACAGATACCGCGTTTGACCTTCAATTTTTGAGTTCATCCACTACTATTTGGCCTTACCAAGAAGATTAAAAAAAAAAAAACATGCTGATTTCTTTTTTTCTTTTCTTTTTTTTTTATTTGAACAACATGTTTTACCAAGAAAAAAAAATTGATGATTTTATTTTCTTCTTTTAGGTCAATCCTGGTTTAAATTCACATTTTTTGGGTAATTAAAGGTTTCCTATAGCAAGGACTACAAATAACATCATTTGTGGCCACTGAACTTGCCGTTTAATTGATATTTATGCATCTCTCTCGATAGATCTCGAATTGAATCCTTACTTTGAAAAAAAAAAATCAATACCGATGGTGTTCTTCTGATCATATCTAGCAAGCTATAATTTCCACATATATTGTTTAGTTAGAGTTAGATATTACCACTACCTTCCGCATGTAAGATACAAGGCCTTAAGCAAAAATAATTTGTGTGCATAAGATAATGATATTAGGATGGTTAGAGAAAAATATTGATCATGCATATCTGGAGGTTAGTACAATATTCTTAAACTACTAGTCAAATATTGTAATCTAATTATATAAAACGGCATGTTTTTTTGTGCTTCCATAATTCATACAGACCAAATGACGTGTTTAGATTTATTTATTTTTTCTTTGTTTTTCGGTGGGCTGTATGAAAGTGCAAGACAGCAAAACATTGTGATTAACGTAACCTTACTTTTTTGGTTGAGGAGCTTTAATCTAAACTTGAGAGTGAGGAACACAGCCCCCAACCCTACACTATACTTGAATCACGTGAAGACATGTGTCCAGTTCCAATTGCCCACTTGCCGAGAAATAACAGCATACTCAATCCTTATCTTTTTACCCTCCTATATATACACACACCGAAGTTTGGACAGCGCAGTACCTGTGATAACCTGAAAGATCTCAAAGATTTTTGTGCTCCGTTTTCATTTCTCAATCTCATGAGAACGAGAAGAATGGCTACTGTTAAAGTTGGTTCAAATTTAAGTCTTCAAATTGGCAAAGATTGTCATCAACACGGAGTTGTAACTGAGGAAATTGATGGGCTAATCAAAGTGTATAAAGATGGGCATGTGGAAAGACCACAGATTGTTCCATGTGTCACAAGCGCTTTAGCTCCCGAGCTCGGTGTGACTTCATGGGACATAGTCGTCGACAAGTTCACAAACATTTGGGCACGTTTCTATGTACCAAATAAATGCCATGGTAAGCTGCCTTTACTTGTATATTTCCATGGAGGTGGGTTTTGTGTAGGCTCAGCTGCTTGGAGTTGCTACCATGACTTCCTAGCAAGGCTAGCTGCTAAGGCCAGCTGCATAATCATGTCAGTTAATTATCGTTTAGCCCCTGAGAATCCTCTCCCCGCAGCCTATGATGATGGAATTAAGGCTTTAATGTGGTTAAAACAACAAGCTCTTAGTGTTGGTGCTGATAATCGGTGGACTACTCAGTGCAATTTCTCTAACATGTTTCTAGCTGGAGATAGTGCTGGTGCCAACATAGCCTTTAACATCATCGCAAGACTTGATTCCTTTAATGCAGGACAAGCCGCTGCAGCCATGAAGCCATTAACTCTCAAAGGCATTATCTTGATACAACCATTTTTTGGAGGAGAGACACGTACTAATTCAGAAAAATATTTAGTGCAATCACCTCGCTCTACGCTTAGCTTGGCAGCCTCTGATACATATTGGCGATTAGCTTTGCCTAGCGGCACTAACCGGGACCATCCATGGTGCAACCCTCTAGCAAAAGGGTCGGTGAACTTGGAGGATTTGATGACATTTCCAATTATGGTGTGCATTTCAGAGATGGATATTTTGAAAAACAGAAACTTGGAGTTTGTTGATTCATTGGGTAGAGCTGACAAGAGAGTGGAGCATTTTGTTCATAAAGGCGTAGGGCATGGATTTCAGATTCTAAGCAAATCTCAGCTCTCTCAAACTCGAGCATTGGAAATGATGTCACAAATCAAGCGCTTCATTAGTGGAATATGACCTCCCCCTGCCCCTCTCTCAAGTACAGTACACATAATTTCACTTAGAAGCAAAGGAAATTAATTCTCAATTGTAGCCATGTCGTATTAATTACTGTTCCAAGAGTTGACCTTAGGCTTCTCAAGTACCATATAGGGGTATAATTGTAGGACCATTATGGGGGTGGCGTAGTGCATGTCAATTTTAACTTGTGATTTTTGTACATATTGATTACTATCGCGAATCATGATGAAAAGTTCAACGCTTTTTGTGCTAAAAATAGAATTTGACATATAGCCACTATATTGTACTATTGCACATGATGGTCAATGGCGAAGAGAGGAAAACGAAAGAAGAAATGTTAGGTAGGCACATTGCCTTTAGACATAAGGGAAGCCGCTCATAATTTAGTGGGATTAGATACTTTGTAATGTGACTTAATTAAGAGTGAATTAGAATTAGAACGAGAATATCGAAGACAGATTATCATGGCAGCCTTACTCGATGATGAGCCCAGTTTAGAGGTCAAATTTTGATATATATATATATATATATAATCTAGTCTGTTTGGCAGAGGTACAAAGTATATATAAATTATTACCATTCCCATCTCACATTTAAACGAAAATGAAAATTACAACTTGACATATTTATTTATTTATTTAACAACACCAACCACAGATAGCTTTGCGGACAGCAGTTGATTCTATTAATAACGTGTACGGTAAATAAAATTATTATAGGTCAGTTTAGAACACCATAAATCAATTAAAAAAAAAAAACCGAGTCGGAATATCAAGTTTTATTAATCTTAATTTTAAACAGTCTTTCGAAACCTTATTCAATATCTAGATATACAAACTGAAGAAGAAATTGAAAAAAAAAATGTCGCCTGTGAGAAACTAAAGAACAAGGTCTACGTCTTCTGATGGCGTTCAAACAAAATTTATCAGTTTTGTTGAAGAGGTTACATCAAGTGCCTGCGCAACTCCATTGAGCGCCGAAATATTTACTCTGGGCTGAGCTTTTATGTGAAAATAGATTTGGGTACTGGGTAGCAAAAGAAATGGGCTTAAGTTAACTAGCGACTCCGCCCTTTAGATGTCGAAGTTAATGGGCCCCATTGTGGACATATAGTGGAAACTGAATTGTTGGCTGTAATTGTGGACATATAATGGGCTTAGTTTACTCTCATAGTTGTAAATTGTAATCCATCCCATAAACATATTTGCCGACGGCTTTTCCCAATCCACCAACGGAGAATTCCATCGGTGATTTTCTATTTCCTTGCAGTGCCATTTTTCTGAGCTATTTATTTTTTAGATAATAACACAATAAGTATGTGTATTTTCAAAAAAAAATTTCAATCCAATGTGTCAAAATTTTTTTTTTCCCAAATAGATTTACGATTTTTTAAAAAAATTATAATAATCAAGTGAGATTTAAAGATGTGAAATGTATGAAATAAAAAATTAATAATGTGTTTTTTAAATAGTGATGTGGCAATTATAAGCTGGATAGTGATGATGTAGGAAATTTATGATAATATGGCATTAATGACATGAAAAAACAACTTTGGAGGGAAATTTCCCTTCAGATATTTTTTTAAAAACTTTTTTGAGAAAATATAAAATGCAATTAAGAAATAGCCTAACTAACCTAATAATTTAACACTTCTCTTCTTCTCTAATATTAAAAAAAAAAGTAATTGCATTTTATGTTTTTTTCAAAAACATAAATAAAGAAAAAAAGAAAATTTCCATTTTTCATTAAAAAAAATCAACATCATAATTTATAAGAGTCATCTTAATTTTTTTTATTTGTGATAATCTATCTAAAAAATATTACTTTTATTTCATTCAAATTAAAATTATCATGAAAAAATTATACTTATTAACTCAACAAAAAAATATATATTAGATTTATAATATAAAATAAATATATGACATTAACCAAATATGAAAATATAAAAAAAATAATAATTTGATGTAAGAAGAGCAATTTTTAGTTTTTGGATAAGGAATTTGATTATCATTCTTGAAAATCTCTTTTATTTCTTTGTGTGGCAACTGCTAATTAATTCAAAAAGTCTGGTCCTTAAAATTGACTAAAGGTTATGCATAATCTAGAATTACCTAACTTAGTAAGTAGTGTATTTTATTTTGACCGACTTAAAACTAGTCCAAAGATACCCTATTATTTATAAACATAAAAAAATTTTTAATGTTTTACATTACTAAAACTACATTTTATATTTTTTTGAAAAAGTAAAAACATAATGCAGGAAAATTTCCCTTCAAATGTATTTTTAAATGTCATTAGTTTCATATCATCACTTAATATCCATGCCTTAATTTTCATTCCATCACTTAATTGATATCTCGTATTAAGCCAAGACTACTCTGTAGCAACAGACCTATCATTGGACACGGCAACTGCTGCAACTCAGTCATGGATGCAGTACCAACTTCTGCAGCAGAAGACACCACATACGGCTCTACAAGTCCTCTCAACAACAACAACCTGTTACACTTAAGATAAAACTAAAGCTAGATAGAAGTTGCTTTGAATTTTATTTTATAGAGTTTTATACATACAAAAATTGTATCACTGTAAAGAAGAAAGCTTACTGTAAGTAAATTGTGAATAAAACATGATTCATCAAAAACTCTTTTATTATTCTAAGTTGGTAGGTATTACTGTCGATTGCCCCTCTTCTTCTTTACTACATCCTTCAAACAACAAATGGTTTCCTCTAGCACCACTGCTTCGCCCATCACTCCTACTAATCCTACAATACAAACCATCTCTCATCCCACCGAACCGAGTTAACTCACTAGCCTCTCATCATTTCATCTCTCTTAAACTCAGTCATGCAAACATTCTTTTATGGCGTATACAGATGAAACCTTTCCTCCTAAGCTAAGGTCTCTTTAGTTTTATCGATGGATCACACACAGACCCTCCTTCCCCCTCCCCAGACACTCTATTCCCACTTAGAATAATAGAGGAGTTTTTGATGAATAGTGTTTCATTCACAATTTACTTGCAGTAAGCTTTCCTCTTTATAGTGATATAAGTTTTGTACCTATAGAATTCTATAAGATAGAATACAAAGCAACTTCTATCTAGCTTTAGTTATGCTTAAAGTATAACAGGTTATTGTTGAGAGGACTTGTAGAGCCGTGCGTGGTATCTTCTGCTGCAAGAGTTGGTGCTGCATCCATGACTTGAGTTGCAGCAATTGCCATGCCCTGTTATAGGTCTGTTGCTGTAACGTCTTGGCTTAATGCTACCCCACGAACTGAAGGTGGATATTTGCCAAGTGTGAGTTTGTCTGTCAAGAAACTAAATCGTCCACTGGATAAAGGTTTTGGTAAAATATCTACAATCTGGTCCAAAATGAAAATAAATTGCACTCCTAATGTCCCTCTTGCTACCATTTCTCTAACAAAATGAAAATCAATTTCTACATGCTTAGTTCGTGCATGAACTACTAGATTTACTGCTAGGTAGGTTGCCTTAATATTATCACACGAGAGGATCGATTGATAGATTTGAAAGACACCTTATTCATCTAAAAGAGAAGTAACTCACGAGAGTTCGACTACCAAATCCACAACTGCTTTATATTCTGCTTTGGTAGAGATATAAGCTACCGTTTTCCTTTTAGATGACTTCCAAGCGATGAAATTTAGCTTAATGTAAACAGTAAATCCATTGGTTGATTCCATGTCATATAAGGATCCGATCTAATCAGAATTAGAGAATCCAAAGAGAATTTGATTGTCTGACCATCTTATATGAATTCCATGGTTAAGAGTATGCTTAAGATAACGTAATATATATTTCATAGCAATCCAATTATCAGAAAGAGAATGATGCATGAATTGACAAAAATTGTTTACAATGTAAGAGGTGTCTAGCCTTGTTAAAGTAATATACTGGAGAGCACTAACCACTTGATGATATAATGTGGGATTAGTGAAAACTATGCTGCCATTGTTTGTTAATTTAGAGGATGTTAGCATAGTCGACAGAAGGACATTTCTTGTTTCTTATAGGGATCAGTAATATAGTTTTGCTGAAACAAGATTATATCGTTCTTTTTTTTGATAACTTCCACATCTAAGAAATAGTCTGTCTGTAGGTCCTGAGTTGTAAAACAAGAACAAACGATAAGTTAAGGCAGTGATTACTGATTTCAAAAAAGTGAGATTGTTACCTATTATCAATATGTCATCCACATAAATCAAAAGAAATATTGAAAGGTTGTCTCAGCTGCTGCAACTCATCAGTCGTGGTTTTGGTCAATGTCTAGGTTCTTTTTCATATTTCTAGTATTTTATTTATGTTAGCTGTTTCTTTCATGTAATTAGCTGTTATGGCTTTTTTTAGGAATCTGTTGATCATGGAAACATGGTCCAAGTAGTTGCTTATTTTTAGGATTTTCAATTAATTTTTTGCTGTATTTAAGCACATTTCTAATAATGAAATTTTGAGACTTTTGCACATCAAATTCACTTGTTCTTTCTTGCCTGAATCTCTCTTTTATTTCTAACAAATTAGTATCAGAGCCCTTTTCTTGAGGGACCTGTGACTTTGATATACATCTTATACATCCTTTCTTGTTCTCTTCGTCCATGGATTCATCAGAAACTCCTTTCACTGCACTAGCACCACCTGTTTTCAATGGTGAAGGCTATCATGTCTGGGCAGCAAGGATGGAAGCTTATGTAGAGGCAAATGATCTCTGAGAAGCTATTGAAGAGGACTATGAATTTCCTCCATTGGCTACAAATCCAACCATGGCGCAGATTAAGGCTCACAAGGAGAAGAAAACAAGAAACTCAAAGGCAAGAGCTACGTTATTTGTTGCTGTCTCACCTGAAATCTTTGTCAGAATTATGATAATGAAATCAGCTTTCGAGGTTTGGAATTTCCTAAAGAAGGAGTATGAAGAAGATGAAAAGATCAAAGGAATACAGATTTTGAACTTCATCAGACAATTTGAACCTTAG